ATCTCGACAGTTTAACACCCTGTAACTCAGAAACAAAGTTTTAACTTCCTCAGTATTCAACTGCTAGATCTCATAACTAAGAGATCCAGGATGAACTGAGTTGTCAGTGTCAGCACAGTGTCAGTACTGTTTCGACCCACTTTGTAGCGTAAGGGTCTGCACGTGTGACTATAGATGGCAGCGCCATACAGTGTGTGTCGCGATCTCTTGATCCTACCTTAGAGCTTTGCCACTAGATGGCTACAACATGACTAGAACTTCATGTTATACCCTGCGTCTTCGAAATGGGTGATATACCCGAAGCGTAGAGTTGTCCCAGTTGTCAGCAGACCGAGATCGGCTGATGAGACCTGGTGGGTCGAAACAGTACTGTCCCGCTCCTGCCAACAATTGGGGCAACTCTGTCCATCCTGGATCTCTTAGTTATGACTGTGGTTATGAGATCTAGCAGTTGAATAGGTCGGTGGAAAAATCCACTCAAGTATCAAGGTTGGTAGAACTGATTATAATTTGTATAGGATGGTTGCCTCGATCGATAGTGCGGCAAGGGGGGAAACGGTCACTCGTGACGTCACATCAGGCAGTAAGACGACAAGTTGTCAACCTTAAAGCGACATGTCATGAAATGTTTACCAAATACAGTATACAAACATGATACAAACTTTTTGGTCTGCTCAGCATATTTATATTAATTTATTGTATATAATTATAAGTAAGTACCATTATAAAATATGGTTATTTACATATACTTCTGTATAATACCTTCAATCTTCGAAATGAGAAGGCAATTTTTGATGGATCAGTAGTACAGAGGAATACCTATCTGAAATTTTGTTCCAGGGGCTATTTACCAGGTCGTGGTACCAGGTATGTGTGTTTTGAGGTATGGAGCATAATTATGGAGCTAGTGATTACTTATGCATTGATTATGAACCTTCTCATCCTATAAATATCCTGCAAATCAGATAATGTGAACAAGAAACTACAGAAAATATAAGAATGATCAACTGATGATCCAGAAGTAGTAGCAGTGGACCAATATTCGTACACAACATGTACACAACAGATCACTTATTTTATCAATATAACTCTGTATTCTGAAAAATTGACAAACTTTCCAAGATACCTATAGAAAATACAAGAGGAAATAGTATTTCATTGTTTGATTATATTGTAGTCAAAAACAGAGCAATTGATAGAAGTATTTGAGCATAAAAAAATAACAAAATATGATATATTCTGAACAAAATTAATGAAAAATAACACTACTATTATAAGTGAACCTATAATGAAGGATAGTTCAAGGAATCTCTCAAATAAACATAGCTCCTCTTCGTTGGGTAACGTACTCTTGCTCAAATATCTCAACTTGAAAACACGTGTGATATCTTCTGATGTCCATTTTACCCGTTCAGCAAGAATCTCAACATTCACAACTGGTCTGGTTCTGATCATTTTTCCAAACTTGAATACTTATGGTGTTTCTCTTGTTGTATTTGGTATTATTGATGGGATTCCTACCTTGAGTTTTCATCTCTTTGGTGTGTGATTTAGCAATTCTGCATGTGCCGTTCAAAATCCTCGGCATCGAAATGGGCAGAACATATTCGCCAAGTTTTGGTATTGAATGAATTAAAATTACGTCCACAAAATTGAATCCATATTTCTCACGAATAGACTCATCTTATGGAAATTAATGGAAACACAAACTGAATTCACTAGTCTCATTACACTTATACGAACTTTAACAAGAAGTGACCGAACAAATTATCAATTTTACATTTTTAAGTTCAAAATGGTTCAAATATTCGAAAATACTGACAACTGTCAACTCAATACATGCGCCGGCCAATCGCTGGCGTACATATCATACACGAAGTGTACGAGAGTGCAACACTTTTCGTGCAAAAGAAAGGGCCTATTACGTCATGAGTTACTCAAGGTCACTCGCGGGGTGCGATCGAGGCAACCTTGTCAGGTAGTGCCATCTGTCAGCAGAATGGTTTACTTGTTGTACCACTCTGTAGCGTATAGACGTAAGGGTCTGTACGTGTGACTATAGATGGCAGCGTCATACGTGTGTGTCAAGGTTGGTAGAACTGATGATTATAATCAGTTCTACCAACCTTGGTGTGTGTCGCGATCTCTTGATTCTACCTTAGAGCTTTGCCACTAGATGGCTACAACATGACTAGAACTTCATGTTATACCCTGTTCCTCAGTATTACCAATATTACCATTGTCGATCTAAATTCTAAATGAAAACCTAGTAGGCAAACTAGTGCGAGGAGGTATTATAGCTCTCGCTACTGACTACCTAACTAGAGGCCAGTTCGTTTGTCATGTTCACCCTGCTAAAAAGTGATGTGAGCAATATTTGATGTTCGTTTGCTCCGAGCAATTATGATTGAGTGTTCATTTGACTGGAGCAAGTCGCCATAGATCACTTCAAGCAGGATTTATTTGCTCCGCGAATTTCCAGAGCATAAAAATCAAATCAGATTGATCAAGTTGTATGGCAAATGAATACAAATAACATGGCAAAAAATGCAACAATTATGTGTAAATATGGCAAAAAAGAGTAAAATTGTTAACCTTGCTGAGGTAATAGACACGAATTCGGACATTATTCTCGAATAATATGCCAACGGTTTTATCATTTTGATCACTTATTCTTTTCTCTCGATCAACATCAACGATCAAAACCTCCAATCGAAACCAAATCAAAACAAGTTCGGAAATTACTCAGATTAGGATGTTACACTGCTTTGTGTTCGTTTGTTCTGTTTGTTTGAGTTGAACAAGAGATAAATGCTCCTACTGGATCATAAAAATCAAATCAGTGACGTCAAATTACATGATCTTCATGATTTTTTGAGCATGTTGAGCTTTTCAAACGAACTGGCATCAGGTTGTCATCTAGAACGACAATCCAATTACTCTTATTCTTGAGTATGCATCATTTTTTTATATAAAATTAATTGCAGTAATTCCTAAAATTGGTAAGTACACACTATCAAGCTGGTGGTATTTCACGAGACACTTAGGGCGAATCATTGAAAGCACACGTATACCGGGTACCTCACTCATGGCTATATCCACCCTCTCAGAAAAATTATTTTACAAAAAATAACGAACACCTCGATTTTTATTTGGAGGGAAAAAAAGCTTGACGCCTACAACCCTCGACTCCCCTGAGCAACCCCCTCTATAATTTGAAATTTGATAATTAATCGCCCTGTATCTCAAAAGTTAAGACTTCCGAGTCATACGTTCATAGGAAGTTTTTATTTTAAAATGAGTCAAAGAATCAACCCCCTTAAATATTAGCATGTCTTTGAGGAACACCCTGTATATCCCTATTATAAACAATAATGTTTCTTGGGGTAATAAAGACAATCAAATGAGTCGCAGGCATTGAACATCAATATTCAGAAGCGATTTTATACTTCTGTTGTTCGGTGACTGTCGAACGTGGACCGATAGTTTATCGATAGTATTCAAAAACTATCGATTGTCTCGATAGTGCTAGCGATAGCTTTCCACCACTAACAAACACAGCACCTCTAGCAAGGACAAGCACAACAAGCTGGTGGACAGCATGGTGGACAGCCTGGTGGACAGCACTGGACATCTTCCATAAGGGGACTGCACGTGGCGGCGGGTAAGCGATCGGGCAGGGCACCGCTGGAGCAACAGGTACTACCCTTCCTATCAGCACGCAAGGCAGGGGAGTAGGGACGATGGTGGGGAAACAAGGCGGCTGGGCGATCAAGGGCACGCAAGGCGGGAGACAACACATTGGAGGACAACACGGTGGGGAACAACAGGGTGGGGGACATCCTCCTCCACACGGCGGACACTGGGTATACCAGAGAGCTGCAGCATGGTTAATGGTGGTGTGCTGTGGTTGTGCAGCCCTGATGGCACAATCACTTTCAACAACCTCATGACCTCATATATCATCAACCTGGTCAGAATTATTCTGCACAAGAAACCAATTGTTGATCAACAACACAATCAGGACCGTCAAGTTGATTGAAATACACGTAGGACTTCATTTTGGACCATATCAATATGGAGTCTATATGAATCATTGGGGTACAAAACATCAGGAACAAAAATATTTGAAATATTGAAGAGAGAAGTAAATAGCAAAATAGACAAAGATTTCGACTACTTCAGGCAAGCGCGGTCCTGAAATGAATCTCTAGAAAATTGACTACTTTTTTTTTGTTGGGATTTCAATATCTCTGTTAGTTTCTTTGTTGATTTCATCTTCAGAATTTTTTTCTATGAGAAACATTCGAAAATTTATTTGTTCCAATGCTCTACCCACCATGGTCAGCATGGTCTTATGGTTTTGGCCCTTGACTTCAGATTTGAAACTCGATCTCCTGTCACTAATTTATTTGTCCAGTTTTGGAGGAAATTGTCTCGGACAAATGTAGCTGGGACATACAATTCATTTCTAGAAATTGTTTTCGCTGTTCCAACATCATATTTGAATATATTCTTTTTGTTCAGATTGGTTTTTCTAGATTACCTTAGGAATGAATGAGTCGCGATTTTATTCTTACTGTTATTCGGTGACAGTCGAACTCTGGGCGTCAAAATGAATCGATTTCTGTACAAAATTTTGGTAAACAATCAATATTCCATAATGGAATGATGTTTTATAACTCCTTACCTAATGAGTTGAAAAATATAGAAGAAACAGACAAATTTCAAATCAAATTAAAGAAATATCTGCTCAGAAAACTGTAATCCATATCTATTAATCATTCACAATTTGAATACTTGTAATGGATTATAATATTTTCATTTTATATTTCTTTATGATTTTTTTTCATGAAAAACAATAATTGTGCAATTATTATTGTTTCGATTCATTATGTTATATGTATGTTTTGTTGTATATAGCCTTATTATAAACAATAATGTTTCTTGGGGTAATAAAATACAATGAAATAAGTCGCAGGCATTGAGCATCAATATCCAGAAGCGATTTTATACTTCTGTTGTTCGGTGACTGTCGAACTATCGAAAAACTATCGATTGTTTCGATAGAGCTAGCGATAGTTTTCCACTAACAAACACAGTACATCTAGCACGGACAAGCACAGCAAGCTGGCGGACAGCACGGTGGACAGCACTGGACACCTCCCGTAGGGGGACTGCACGCCAGTGGCGGTGGACAAGGGATCGGGCAGGGCACTGCTGGAGCAACAGGTACTACCCTCCCTATCGGCACGCAAGGCGGGGGAGTAGGGACGATGGTGGGGGGACAAGGTGGCTGGGAGATCAAGGGCACGCAAGGCGGAAGACAACACATTGGAGGATAACCCAATTGTTGATCAACAACACCATCAGGACCGTCAAGTTGATTGAAATACACGTAGGACTTCATTTTGGACCATATCAATGGAGTCTATATGAATGATTGGGGTACAAAACATCAGGAACAAAAATATTTGAAATATTGAAGAGAGAAGTAAATAGCAAAATAGACAATGATTTCGACTACTTCAGGCAAGCGCGGTCCTGAAATGAATCTCTAGGAAATTGACTAGTTTTTTTTTTGTTGGGATTTCAATATTTCTGTTAGTTTCCTTGTTGATTTCATTTTCAAAATTTTTTTCTATGAAAAACATTCGAAAATATATTTGTTCCAATGCTCTACCCACCATGGTCTTATGGTTTTGGCCCTTGACTTCAGATTTGAAACTCGATCTCCTGTCACTAATTTATTTGTCCAGTTTTGGAGAAAATTGTCTCGGACAAATGTAGCTGGGACATACAATTCATTTCTAGAAATTGTTTTCGCTGTTCCAACATCATAGTTGAATATATTCTTTTTGTTGAAATTGGTTTTTCTAGATTACCTTAGGAATGAATGAGTCGCGATTTTATTCTTACTGTTATTCGGTGACTGTCGAACTCTGGGCGTCAAAATGAATCGATTTCTGTACAAAATTTTGGTAAACAATCAATATTCCATAATGGAATGATGTTTAATAACTCCTTACCTAATGAGTTGAAAAATATAGAAGAAACAAATTTTAAATCAAATTACAGAAATATCTGCTCAGAAAACTTTATTAATCCATATCTATTCACAATTTGAATACTTGTAATGGATTATAATATTTTCATTTTATATTTCTTTATAATTTTTTTTTTCATGAAAAACAATAATTGTGCAATTATTATTGTTTCAATTTATTATGTTATATGTATGTTTTGTTGTATATAGCCTTATTATAAACAATAATGTTTCTTGGGGTAATAAAATACAATGAAATGAGTCGCAGGCATTGAGCATCAATATCCAGAAGCGATTTTATACTTCTGTTGTTCGGTGACTGTCGAACTATCGAAAAATAGTTTTCCACTAACAAACACAGTACATCTAGCACGGACAAGCACAGCAAGCTGGCGGACAGCACGGTGGACAGCACTGGACACCTCCCGTAGGGGGACTGCACGCCAGTGGCGGTGGACAAGCGATCGGGCAGGGCACCGCTGGAGCAACAGGTACTACCCTCCCTATCGGCACGCAAGGCGGGGGAGTAGGGACGATGGTGGGGGGACAAGGTGGCTGGGCGATCAACGGCACGCAAGGCGGGGGACAACACATTGGAGGACAACAGGGTGGGGGACAACAGGGTGGGGGACATCCTCCTCCACACGGCGGACACTGGGGCAGTTTGATGTAGGCTGGGTAGCACTGGTACTGTTCGAGGCCGTTGGATTTCGTTATTTGCTGGCCTAGGTGTTTGGCGCCTGCGTATGCGCTTGGTCCGCATGTTGGATCCGGTTTTGTGACGCATTCTGGGGAGCCGTGGCACTCTGATCGGGGACAGTCATCCTGGAAAGCAGTATTTTGAACATATATTCAACAGTCTCTAGAAGAAACAACATTATATGTACTATGTATATGATTCAAAAATGATTATCTGATTATCTAATTTCATTTTCTTTACATACAGTGTTTGCGATTTCATCACGCAACACCCTATCTCCTAATTTGGAACCCGTCGACCGATTTTCAAAAAAAAAAATTCATAATATAGTACTCAACGAGCTATATTCGAAAATGTGGACAAATCTGAAATATTCATATTTTCAAGGCCTACTTTCGATTGCTGAATGGGTCAAAATTTCAAAAACTACTATTAGGCATTTTTTTATCGAAACAGTGACTAGCTCATTCGATTCAGGCATAGATTAAATACCCTCATACGGAATTTGAATGCAAAATCTCACATAGGGTGTTAGTTATTTTGATATTTTTGATTTTTAGATTCACCCTGTATCAAAATCAAAGGGATCGATAAAACTGGTGAAGTAGTCATTCAATGGAGAAACACATTGAATACTTGGATACGAAGTTCCATCGTTGTAACTTCTACAGGAAGATCTCTCTAGGTCAACCAAAAATAAATGAAATTAAAGTTGAGGTTCACTATTTTGAAAACTCAAGTAAACCGTTTTTCACACACTTCACTATACAGTAACTTTGAATATCCTCTCGATTGATAAGATAAAGAACTGTCGAATATAATACAAATCGAATGACAGACAAACATTCTACAATTGTTATGTATAGAGAATATTTCTTCGAATAAGTTACTATTATGTATATTTCCAGGAAAAAAGATATGGATCGTAATGCAAAATTTGTCAACTTCAATTTCATTAATTTTTGGTTGACCAAGAGAGATCTTCCTGTAGAAGTTACAACGATGAAACTTCGTATCTGAGTATTCGATGTGTTCCTTCATTGAATGACTACTTCACCGGTTATATCAACTCCTCAGATTACGACACAGGGTGAATCGAAAAATCAAAAATATCAAAAGTCGCCACTGAATAACTAACACCCTATAGAAGATTTTGCGTTCAAATTTCGAATGGGGTTTCTTCAGCTATGCCTGAATCGAATAGGCTAGTCACAGTTTCGATAAAAAATTATCTAATAGTCGTTTTTTAAATTTTGAACCCTTCAACAAACAAAAGTAGGCAATGAAAATTTGAATATTTCAAATTTGTTCACATTCTCTGATAGAGCTCGTTGAGTACTATATATAATGTGGAATTTTTGTTTTTGTAAATCAGTCAACGGGTTCCAAATCAGAAGAGTGTTGTCCTTGACAACATTGCTTCATGAGTGGAAATAAAAGATTATTTGACCAATAACGATAAACAGCATAAAAATTAATTTAGGTTCCTAACGGCACATTGGAGTAATTGAATGCCAATAATTCACTATCAGTCCAGCACTCGCCCATTATTCTGCATAAGAACAAAACCAAAACAATGAACGTTAAAGTTTCCAAGAAAATATACGTATCTACCTATACTGGCTAACTGACAAAAAACACTCCAAGCAATAGCGGCGCATTTAACTATCTGATTTTGAAAAACAAAGAAGCAAATGAATTGATTCATCAGATACTACAGGGAGACACTATAGCATTTTTTTCTCTTTACTTGGGGTGAGCATAATATACCATTATATATAAATATTATAAGTACAGTATTTGGCGCCAGAACCTGGAACAAATTCGACATTACCTCCACACTGACGGATTGCATCGGTACCTAGTATCTCCTGTGGCTCTATGGCAGTAAAATTATAAGATTAGTACTAGAAGTGACGTTAGAAATAGAGTGGCGACAATAGTGGTACACTTTTTAATTGGTTAGATCTCTAATATGGAGGTGCATCCATATGTCTTGTTTTCTCCATTCAGAGCTCTACGTATTCTATTTCACATTGTCAATGCTTTGTCTTTGGACACGAGACATCCGTCTTTCGGAACTCGTAAGTTTAGGATTATTTGGATGATGAAATGAAAATATCAAATATCTAAACCTTACGTCAGATGGACACTTCCTAGGCGCAAATTCATTACTGCATGAGAGATACCCTTCCTATTGTTAGCTATTCAGTGACTTGACCACGAATGACATTCCAGAAACAGCAGCCATTTGGAGGGTCTATTTTTTTTATTTTATGTTCTGGTTCCCGAAAACGTATATCCTGTAATATTCAGCGAACATCGTGAGAACCGAGAGAAATAAGGTAGGAATTGGTGTTCTTCTTAAATTTCTGGAGGTTATATGCCTCGGGGAACACCTCCCTTGGCAATGTGTTTCAGAGCCTCGCTGTTCGTTGGATGAACGAATCTTTGGAAAGAGATTTTCTGCAGGTCTCCAAAGTGACCACGAAGGGGTGCGAAGCCTCAACTCGACGGGTGAGTTTGTGAGCGAGGCATCACCTACGAGACGAATTGCCCTTTTTTGGACAGAATCCAACAGTTTCAGGGTATGTTTGGGTGCTGCACTCCAAATATGGGAACAGTATTCCAGGACAGGTCGGATTTGTGCTTTATAGATCATAAGCAGCTGACTGAAAGTGAAATAGCTCCTGGACCAAAAAAGAGACCAAGTTTTTGGGATGCACTTTTAGCAATTGATCTCACGTGATTCTCCCAAGAAGGGTTATCACTAATAGTATAATACCAAGCATCGAAATGGATGTCTTCAAAGGTTATATACGGTTATAAACGAACAACCTAGTTGAATTCAACGCCACCAAAACTCAAGCCTGCATTTTCTCTAGAAAGGCGGAACTCAGTATGCCCGATATTGTAATGTCTGGCTCCACCATCCCCACCAAGCCCACCATATCTATGCTCGGTATTTCCATCAGCAACACTCTTTCATGAGATAATCATGTCAGATCCATCGCAAAAGCTGCCTCACAAAAACTCGGATTCTCGTTCCGTGCGAAAAGCTACTTTACACCTCAACAGCTTCTCATGATCTACAAAGCGCAGATACGGCCTGTTCTAGAATACTGTTCCCACATATGGGGTTCAGCACCAAAACATACGCTTATGCTCTTAGATTTCATCCAGAGAAGAGCCATTCGCCTGGTGGGTGACGCCACACTCACTCACTCTTTGACATCATTGGAACACCGTAGAAAGGTCGGCGACCTTTCACTTTTCTATCGATACTTCCACGGGAAATGTTCTTCGGAAATCTCTGCAATCATCCCTTCACTAGCAATACCAATCAGACGAACTAGACAAGCCCAGTCAGCACATCCTTTCGTTGTCAACCTCGAAAGATGTCGAACAGCACTTTATCAAGACTCCTTCATCCATAGAACGGCTAGGCTCTGGAATTCATTGCCTGTGGAAGTATTCCCAACAACATATTATAATCTCAAAAAATTCAAAAAAAATTCCAATACCTACCTCCTGTCCCTATCCTCCCTAGGAACGCACGATGTTCTTTGAACATTATAGGGATTCCCTTTCGTGCGCTCCAATCGATTAAAAAAAATATATATATGGTTACTCCTGACAAGCTTATGTTGGGCACAGTGAGATCGGCTTTTCTAGAGAAAAGGCATGCTTGTGTATCGTTTGAATTGAAATCGACCAAGTTATTGGATCCCCATTCGAGAATTGTTGCCAAGTCCATGTTGTCAACATTTCTCCCTCGTTCGTTTCTGATTTGCCTGGCTGGTATTGGAGCCCTGGAAGAGAAGGCGGTATGGAGGGTACTATCATCCGCGAAGCTGTGTACTGGATATGAAGTTGTTTCCCAAAAATCGTTAATATGGAGTAGAAATAATGTTTGTGCTAGAATTGATCCTTGCGGAACACCAGCATTTATGATAAGAGAGTCAGATGAAACTCCGTTGACCACTACATGGAGAGACCTGTTTGAGAGAAAACTAGCTAGTGGAGAACATAGCTGGGGAGGCAAGCCATAAGATGGAAGCTTGGCGAGGAGTCCGTGGTGCCAGACTCGATCGAAGGCCTTGGATATATCAAGTGCCAGGGCTAAGGTTTCGCCATATTTTTCAATAGATTGCTGCCATATATGTGAGACGTAAGCGAGCAGGTCACCAGTTGATCTCTGATGAGGGAAGCCATATTGCATATCGTTGATAATACCTGATTGTTCCAGGTATTTCATGGGTTGCTAGGTAGGGTCTTGTTGCCCTTTCTAGGAACTGGTTGTACTCTTGTAATTTTCCAGTTGGACGGGAATATCCCCAATTTGTAAGAGTATATAGTTGAACAACTTGCAGAGAACAGGTGTTAGTTCAAGAGCACATTTTTTGAGAACAATCGGTGGGATTTCGTCGGAGCCACAAGCTTTGTTGGTGTTGAGACCCAATAAAATCTTCCTATGTTGATGGCTAAAAAAAGGTGATCTCGGGCATATGACTGTCAATGTTTGGAGGTTGTTTTCCCGATGAATCCTGGACAGTTGTGGCTAGTGTTCCATCTTCCTTGGGTAGAGGAGGAAACGAGATGGAAGTGAAGTTTCTTCCTACTCACTTCCTGATCTACTCACTCCACAGAACTCAAAGACTCTAATTAATACTTACTTGCAATCCGTTCCTTTTCTCGCAATCGCACCCGCTATACAAGACGCTGGCTCTCAGCTCCCTGCTCTTCGACCTGCTGCCCGAGTTGCCCTTCTCCTGCGGCCTTCGGTAGCACACCATCATCTGGGGGGGATTGCACGGCACGCAGGGCTGCTCCGCGGGGCAGGGGTTGCAAATGGGGACGCAAGGGGGCGGCACGGGAGTGCAGATCGGGAGGGTGGGGGGTACACAGCAGGGGGGACACGTACCTGAATGGGATATTAAAATAGTATATTACATAAGAACACAGATAAAAAGGATTTCTTCGATCAAACAAATCCATTTTCTCGAAATTGAATTGCTTCGTTCTAGAATATTTCATTTGAATGGAACAATATACACTTGTCCCAATTCGATCGGCTTGTTTGCATCGTTTCTTGATATGAATTTGCTCAACATAAACAGTATATTTCTTCATTCAAGAAAACCGCGACTACAAGTGACATATATTAGTTCAAGCAAATCTCTGTTTGTCTAAAAGACTTTCAGTGACGTATATACAGCGGTACGCCTGCGCCCATTCGACTACTCAGTCGTTAGCCGCCATTCGACATGAAGACGGTGCAAAGCACCTTTGTTTTTCAATGGTGAAATGTTCAAGAATCAAGTGTGCTCAGTCATGGATAATAGTGGTGTGGTATCATCTTCACAGCAATGCGGCATTCCATATTTGAGGGCAATCTGATGCGGGGGTAAGAACTTCGTATATTTTTGTAACATAGGTGTACCTAGTGAGGTGTTTTCCCTTTTTATTTTATCAGAAACATGCTAAGAACCTTGATATCAATCATACCTGAAACCATAACTACACATCAGTGTCAACGCATATGGCCATGTTTGTATAACCTGCACAACACACATTCGTTCAGCAGTGACGATTTGACCAGTCGAATTCATTCGATGAACGCACTAATAGGTATAGGTAGGTAATTGTCCATAATTTGTATATTTTTTACTTGATTCCTGATTAGAATGATTGAACCAATAATAATATGTCTCCTTCTTTCGTGTTTTTATACCTATAACAACTTTTAAACATGCCGTCTTGTCAAACGCAGACTTTCTTGCGACCAGAAAATGTTCATTTTATTGACTACGAAAATAATTATCGCATCTCTTCAGAATGAGATTGGATGATATTCAAAGCTGTGCAATTTTTAAAAAATTTCAAAGGCTTTCAGTTGGAAAGAATTTTTCATTTTTTATTTTTGTCGGAAGATTTTTGGAATTGTCACTGTCTTTACTGAAATATGAATATTGTTATGAGAGATTGCATCATTCTATACTCCAATTTCTATATTGGATGTGTGTTCTGTCATCTCCGAAAGTATTCGGAAGTTTCAATACTGCATTTTGTTAGGCATACAATTGTGCGACTTTGCCTTAATTTACCGACCCTGTATCTCTCACAGTTCAACTTTCATTTGTGAAATGACACCCTATACAAGGTATTTCGAAAATTCATTATCGAGATTTTAAGGCCGTATGTTTCAAATGAAAAAAAAAATACTAAGAAAATCTTGAACTATGAACGTTCTGTTGATCGTAAAGAAGCGTTTGCAGACAAAAAAGGGTATTTTTACGAATGCTCTTTTTGATACTTCTGAGTATTTTTACCCAAAAATATTTTTCCTCATTTTGAAAGTTTATAATTTTGATGGCGATTTCATATCGAAGGCAATTATTATAATCTTGAGCATACGTGTTTACCTGGACAAGAAGGAGGTGGACAACAACTTGGAGGAGAACAACAACCTGGAGGTGAACAAAATGGAGGTGGACAGCAGCTTGGGAATGGAAAACACCCTGGTGGAGAACAGCAACCAGGGGGTGAACAGCATCCGCTTGGCGGGCAACATGAATTGCCATCTATTTGATTCACAAGATTTTTGAGACTCGCTAAAAGCGATTCTCTTCTCTGTGAAGTTTCTTTGCAAGGCATTTTCAAACACGAATAATTTTATACCAAAACGAATCAATACACTGAAATTTTGAAGACAATTTGGAATCAAGAGATTATGACAGAACAAGAATTTTGACACTAAGTTTTTAAAGTTTCTGAATCCATCATGCTTTGAATTGACTTTGAATGCTTTGTTGCCTCGCAGCCACCTCAGCATTATACCTTGGTTGCATTATAATGTCGTCAGATATGTAACGTGAGTCAGTAAGGCCATTGCCGTTCTATACAGGGTGTTTCGAAATTCGACCGACAACGTTTGACAGGTGATAGCCCTCGTGATTTCATAATCATTGAGATAGGAACATTCGGTCTTCAAGTGTTCAGTTCTCGAGATACAGGGCGTTGAAGTTGAGAAATGAAAATAGTTGTTTCGCAATATCTCAAGAATAATTGAATATAATGCATTCAACTTCGGTATATGGTTTCATCTTTGAATGGGCCATTTTTTGACCTGGAAGCCATTCCGGACATTTTGTCCAGTGGTGCCCTACAGGGGGTTGTGGCATTTTTTCCTTCCATATTTTCTACGCCACTGATTGAATTTCGATTATTTCCAATTCCTCGAATTCATTCTTCAATTTTGTTCAGAAAATGCATCACCTTCAACTGAGCTGAAATAAACAGTTTTCGAGATATTCGACCCAAAATAGAAGATTGCATAGTAATATTTCATCATTTTCAGTAGTAGAAAATTGCAAAAATATTTTTCTGGTGTTGAGTAGATTAGATACTATTCAGATCTCATTCCATAGCTGAACAGAAATAGTTATTCCACACATGAAGAGAAAACAAAAATTTTCGTAATTTTTTACTACCGAGGAAGATGAAAAATTACTATGCATACTTCTATTTTGGGTCAAATATCCCGATAACTGTTCATTTTAGCTCAGTTGAAGGTGATGCATTTTTTCAACATAACTGAACAAACAATTCGAGAAATTGGAAATAATTGAAATTTCATCAGTGGCGTAGAAAATATGGGAGGAAAAGTTATCACAACCCTCTGTAGCGCATCTCTGGATAAAATTCTCGGAATGTCTTTCTGGTCAAGAAATTAATCAGTGAAAGATGAAACCATATACCGAATTTGAATGCATTATATTAAATTATTCTTGAGATATTGCGAAAAAACTATTTAAATTTCTTAACTTCAACGCCCTGTATCTCGAGAACTGAACACTTCAAGACCGTCTGTCCCCTGTCCCTATCTCAGCGATTATGAAATCACGAGGGCTATCACCTGTCAAGCGTTGTCGGTCGAATTTCGAAACACCCTGTATAGATGACAGTACAGCCTATAGGTAGTTACCTTCTTGTACTAGGTTGCCTACTAGGTGTTGATTTAGATCGACAATGGTAAGGCTCTTGGTTATCAAAGGGCTTCAAAAATCCATCTATAATCAAGGGGGTGAAAAAATCGCGAGAGCTTATAAATATCTATCAGAATGAGACGAGTGGAGGAACACTCCATACCAGTTTCTTTCAATGGGACGACTCGCTATTACTCTGAACTCACTCCGTACTCTAAACAATCTACACCTTTTCCAGTTGTATTTCAGAAAGCGTCAATTGTATTGCAGAAAGAATCAACTGTATTGCATATTTGAATATCTTATATAAATTTATTGATGCCACCAGTACAATTATTTCGATCCACCTTTCCAGAGGGATAGTTTATTCTTGCAGTTTTTCAAAATTCCTTGCTGACCGAGCATTTCTGGCTCGTATTTTTCCATCAAATTACAATTTGGATATCTCATATAGATTCATAGATGCCACCAGTAGAATTATTTCGATACACCCCTTAAGAGGGATGTTTATTCTTGATGCAGTTTTCCAAAAATCCTTGCTGACCGAGCATTTCTGGTTTGTGTTTTTCAATCAAATTACATAATATTTGGATATACGGACCAGAAATGCTCGGTCAGCAAGGATTTTCGAAAATCAGCAGGAATAAACTACCCCTCTGAAGGGGTGGATCGAAATAATTCCACTGGTGACACCTATAAATATACAGTCTGTCCAAGATAAGGTTGAACAGCATGGGGATCTCGGAAAACGGTGAGAGATACGAAGTCGGTTAAATGGGGAAAAAGTTGCGCATTCGGAGGCTCATATCAAGAGCCTTCGAAAATGTTGAAAATTATTTTTAGTTTTTGAGTTATATCGAAAAAAATGAATTTTTGGAATATCTATTTTATTTTTTTTTCGCCGTTATTATTAGAGATACAGCAAAACTGAGAATACTTTTTCATAGCAACTTTTGATGACGTTCAACGTGGTGATACCGATTTTTTTATGCGACGTTTCGTATCCGTGGAACCATCATCAACTTTTGTTTTATGAATACGGTCCTGATAATTTTTTCACAGATTCTGAAAGGTTTTTTTATTCTGAATTCAACCATGTATTATACAAAGTGGTTTATGTGTGTTTCGACCTATTTTCAGCCATCATCAATGTTTTTTCGAAATTCCAAAGAAAAATGCCATCAGTTCCACTTATTTTGAAGGAAAATTAGTCAACACACTAATACCTCATCAACTGGTTTCAATCAACAACCCATTTCATTTTGCAGAAACAAAAATTCCGTCCATAAAAATTCTGAATATGTCAAGCGCTAAAACCAGGCGATGACGAAAGGCGCAGGACATTCTGTGAGTGGTATACCAGGAAATGTTAAAATTTTTCAGATTTCTTTCGAACAATCATCTGGACTGATGAAAGCATGATCACTAATCATGGTAGCTTCGATAAAAAAATACACATTATTGTTCACGAGAAAATGAACATTTATACATTACAGCGAGACACCAACACCGTTTCGGCTTTAATATGTGGGTTGCAATATTTGGTACACGAATTAATGTTCCTTCTATTTACCATGAAACACAGACTTCCGAACGTTATAGAAATTCTCTTGAGAGAGAATCATCTTGAGGATCTCTGGATGATTTAACGATTGCGGAAGTTCAGAACTGTTGGTTTCAACACGATGGCGCTCCGGTACATAATTCCAGAGAAGTCCGTGCGTTTTTATCCCTTGGCCGGCGCGGTCGCCTGATTTGACACAGCTGGATTTTTTCTTACGGGATATATCGAACTTTGTACACGCAACTAACTCTGATGATGGGGAAGAACTAAGGGACAGTGTCTTCGAAGCATTCAATAGAATAACCCCAGAAATGCCCAGCAATGTCTTAGAAGCAACAGTGAGAAGAGCATATCTTTGTTCAGAAAATAATGGTTATCATTTTGAACATTTGTTTTAAATGTCTCTGTAGGTATTGTCAAAGTTAAGTTGTTAAAGTAATTCGTGTAAGAATTCATCAACAATTTTAAACGCTGCATTGATCGAATGATGTAGTGAAATATTTTTTATTCACTTTTCAGTATTGAATAACTAATCCATCAAGTTTGACACTGAATGATCAGAAATAAGTGGAACTGATGGCTTTTTTCCTTTGGAAGTTCGAAAAAACATTGATGATGGATAGAAATAGGTCGAAACACATTCGAATCACCTTGTATAGTACATGGTTAAATTCTGAATAGAAAAACCTTTCAGAATCTGTGAAAAAATTATCAGGACCGTATTTAAAAAACAAAAGTTGATGATGGTTCCACCAATACGAAACGTCGCATAAAAAAATCGATATCACCAAGTTGAACGTCATCAAAAGTTGCTATGAAAAAGTATTTTCAGTTTTTCTGTATCTCTAATAATAAGGGAGAAAAAAAGAAAATATAAATTCCAAAAATTCACTTTTTTCGATATAACTCAAAAACTAAAAATAATTTTAAAAATTTTCGAAGGCTCTTGATATGAGCCTCCGAATGCGCAACTTTTTCCCCATTTAAGCGACTTCGTATCTCCTAGCGTTTCCGAGATATCCAAATATGTAATTTGATGGAAAAATACGAACCAGAAATGCTCGGTCAGCAAGGATTTTTGAAAAACTGCAAGAATAAACTACCCCTCTGAAGGGGTGGGTCGGAATTATTTTACTGGTGGCATCCATATACAGTGTGTCCCACTTACCATGCTCACCATGGGTATCTTTTTAACGGTGAGAGATACGAGGTCGGTTGAATGACACAAAATGTGGAGTTTGTCAAGGCCAACTATAATGTGAAAAAATATTTTGATAAAATCTATTCGTTTTTGTTTTATACGCAAAAAACAGATTTTGATCATTTTCATGTCTCCTCCGTAACTTCTTCATTTATGAATATATTCAAATAGGAATTTCACATTTTCATGGCAGTTTTTCAGAGTGATTTCGAAAAAAATATGAAATTTATACCAACTCTTCTAGAATTTGAGATATCAGCACCAACTTTAGTTTTTCAAATGTAGGTCATAGCTCACTATGACTTAGTTACAAATAACTAGGTCGACATTGTTTATCTGGTTTGGCTTTCACTATGCTGTGAACTGCCGCTTTTTGCAAAATGAAGGTTCTTTGTAAATGTGTGTGGGAGGCATTGCCCCATCCTAAAATTCCGTAGGTTAAGATTGACTGGAAAAGACCATAGTACTTATATGGTGAGACCACTGGAATATCACTCACGCATCATGCTCCGCCTTTCCACAGCCTTCAAACATAAATAATATAATTATTTATCATATTGCTCGCGATAATATAAAAGGATAGAAGGGACATTGGGACTATATTCTCTGACCCGAGTGAAATAGATATACCCAGTAGTAGACAGTTCAAATTATTTCTTTATTCAATACAAAACTTCACAAATGGTACTTCATTTATTGATATATATATATTATATCCCTATTTTTGGGGACAGCAACCCGGGGGTTGAGGACAGCAATTGGGGATGACGGGGGTGCAAATGGGTAGACAAGGCTTCGGCAGTGGGTCGTAGATTTCGATGACAGGCCCAATGGGGCTGGTGACACAAGGCTGACATGGTGGTGGACAACAGGGAGAACAGCAAGATTGCCCCTCGATTTGACTGATCAAATTCTTGATGCTGGCTAGTAGTGATTGTTCATTGGAACACATTTTGGTTTGGCTTCGTCTTATAACTGTGATGGCACAAATATGTGTGGGACATTTAATGTTACGGAAATTTTGGCTCCTCTTGAGGAAAAATATTTCTTGTCACTAGGAAAATTTTGACACAAATATTTCAAACTATCGAATTTTCGTTACTTTGGTTACTATAAATAGGTATTATGTTGCTATGATTTTTGAAGGATTATACAAGATGTCTGCCACAATCTGTAACTATCCACCAATCACCAATCCTTTTATATACATATTTTGAGATTTTGAGAGATTTTGAGAGATTTTATAGAGATTTTTTATTTTTTTAAGTTCTCCATCTATTTGAAAATAGCTAGTGTTGCTCTTCAAATCGTCAACTGAATAGGTGGAGAAAAGGAATCTATAGCTTGGTAAGAAGATATCTGCTGTAGATTATGATTTTTCTAGTAAAAGCAAGAGGGCAAGAGAGTCCAGACAATTAATAACGACTTATCAAAAAATTAAATATTGAAAGTATTGTCAATAAACGTGAACATTAATATAATTTCACAATTTCAGAGAAATTCTATACGAATATTTTTTGAGTGCGCCATCTATTAGTGAATAGCTGTAGTGTTGCTTTCAAGACGGTTCTCTTGTAAATCGTCAACCGAACAGGTAGAAAAATGGAATCTATAGGTATGGAGGAACATATGAGTTTCTCAAGCTCCTTGCTTTTCAGGATATCTGTCCCTAACATGATTTTGATAGATTTCTATCAATAAACTACTTCCATCATTAATAAACCTAAAGACAGAGACTGAAGAAAATATGCTAAAGAGTCCAGATACGTATATGACTAGATACTATGACAGGTGATGACAGCAATAACTATTCTGAAAATTAGAAGAAGTTGATGAATAACCAACAAAATTTTAATTATAACCTACAAATCTGACGTTTGTGAAAAAGTGTTTATTTTGAATTGATTTTGAATTTTTATCAAGTTCTGCCTGTTCATTATTTCAATCGCTCGGTTAATGAACCTAAGTGATGTCTCATATACTTGCTCATTCTCTTGAAGAAAATGCCAGAACTAAGGACGTAACCATATCAGAGAATGTCAATTTCGAATCTTTGTTGCTATCTGAAGATATTTTCCAGGGGCTGTGCCAAACAGGATTTAGAAAACCGTCTCCTATACAGCTCAAAGCAATACCTGTTGGAAGATGTGGATTTGGTAAGTAATTTATCAATGTAGGTATAAGTTTGCACATGAAAATACAAGTGAAAAGAGGATATAGTGATCTAGCATTTCAAATTGGAACAGATTTATCATCTTATTGTGATCCTTCCATCAATTTCCATCAGTTATTAAGTATGTTATCCACAATTATTTCTGACTAATGTCTTTATATCAAATAAAGTTGTAATTTGATTTCTCATAATCCACCAGTGGTATGTTTATGTTATTACATTTTTACAGATCTTATAGTGAAATCAAAATCTGGTACAGGAAAAACTCTGGTATTTTCGATTATTGCCTTAGAAAATATAGATAGACATAAGCAAGCACTTCAAGCTCTGATCCTTGCACCCACAAGAGAGATTGCTGTTCAGATTCAAGATGTGATTAAGAAAGTTGGATCCAACATTGAAGGTAATCTATCAGTATAATTTATTTTCAAATCCCACTTTGTTTATTATTGCAAAGGATGTTTGAAATGATAATATGTTAGTTAGTTCTGTTAGTTCAATAGAAGCAATCAAGGTGACAATGTGTGGGGCAATGCCTCAGTTGAATATCTTGTCAGATACATATATACAGATCGTGATACAGACATAAGCAAATATCAGGAAAATACCCATGTTAGCTCAAGGTGCATGGTGCTCAATTCCAAGGATATGAAGAAATTGATTTCTAAATGATTCCCTAGATGATTCCAGTAGGTAACAAAAAATGGAATTCATGAAAATCCGTGAAAATCAATTATATCAATTTCAAACATATTCAAAACATTCAACAGATCTTCAAATATTCATTATTCTAACTGTATTTATGGCAACCCATAGTTTGGTTTACAAAATGTGAATAATGATTCCTAGTCAATATAACAAAAAATGTTATGAGCTTTTGTATCTCACATAAATACCTGGATAAATACTAGTCAAAAAACTAGAAATCACTTGTCCAAGAGATTTGAAAAAATATTTCAAGAAGCTGTGTTCTTAAGAAAGTATTTACAGGGTGAGCAAAACCCATCAGCTTTATTCAAAGGAAAAGAAAAATGACCAGACAAATCTTAATAATATTTTCAATTGGGATTGAACAAGTTCTATTTCAAGCCAAATTTTCATATTAACCCTTATTTGTAAAGTGAAGGAATGATGTCATCATTTTTTATTTTCAAACAAGCCCCCACTCATGTTCTGAATTATTTGAAGAGAGCTAATTTTGCTCTTGACATTTTTCAAGTGGGAATATTTTTTATTCTGTTCTGAAAATTTGGTTCTCACCAGATATTTTTCCATGATTTTTTTATTTATGTGAGCCGAGATTTAAACAAAATGTGTACTTGTTTCAAGTTGATTGCTCATGTTTATTGATATTTTTTCTTCATAATGTTTCCTCTAATTTTCTCAAGAAAATTATTGCTTTTTCAATTTGTCAAAATAGTATGTATAAGGAAAACATCATCATTAAACCAGCTTCTAAATATGGCAAAATAAACAAACCTAAAGTTTACCTTATTCAATGTTATTCAAGAACCTCTCTTCAGATTTTTTTTTCATTCTTGCTTTTCCTATAATAAAGCTAAGAAGTAAGACATCAAGCTTTGCTTACCTTGTATAAACTAATGTAGCTAGATATTGTAGAGATAAAATTTTTTGAAACATAGAAATACAGAGAAGACATGATCAAATGATAATGACTGCTTCCTCCAAAATATTGTATTTATAAATACAGGATGTTTCAAAATTCGAACAACAACACTTCACAGGTATATAGGGATAGGGTATGTCACTATGAGCTTACACTATCTCTATATCAATAATCAGTCTGGAGAAATCCATGAAAATATACATGCTTATATTTTAGAATAGGGTCTCTTCATATAAAATATTTTCAGCAATACAGTGTTGCCGCTTCTATCAAAAAGTAGCAACAGCTTTGTTATTTCAAATAGAATACCCGGTATTTCATTGCATTTTCAGATTCTCCCTGAAAAGATGATTTCATCGATGTATCATACTTGTGGTCTATCGGAAATGATTAGAGAGATATAGGGTGTTCAAAATCGAGATTTTTCAACTTCAGGATTTGTTTGTGTCGAAACTATTTATTATCCGCCAAAACGGCTCACATGTCCAAATCTCAACTTTTGATTTACTATTTACTGATATTCAATCGGAACAGATACAGGGTGATCAGAATTCTGAATCTTGGACCACCCTGTATCTATTCCGATTAAATATCAATAAATAGTGAATCAAAAGTTGAGATTGGGGCATGCGAGCTGTTTTGACCGATAAGGAATAGTTTCGACACGAAAAAATCGCGATTTTGAACACCCTATTTCTCTATAATCTTTTCAGACCCCAAGTGTGATACATCGATAAAATCAGCACTTCAGGGAGAATCTAAAAATGCGATAAAATACAGGGAGTTCCATTTGAAATATCAATGTTGCTACTACTTTCTAGTAGAAGCGGCAACACTGCATGGTCGAAAATATTTCAAATCAATAAAGTGTATTCTAGAATACAAGCATGCACATTTTCATATATTTCTCCCCACTGATTCTCGATATAAAGATAGTGTAAGCTCGTCGTGACATACCCTGTATGTGGTTCAAGATTCAGAATTCTGATCACCCTGTATCTGTTCCAATTATCAAATGTCAGTAGATAGTAAATCAAAAGTTAAGATACGGACATGGAAGCCGTTTTGAAAGATAATGAATAGTTTCGTCACAAAAAAAAACAAAGTTGAAAAATCTCAATTTTGAATATCTGTAATCATTTTCGGTAGACCCCAAGTGTGATACATTGATGAAATCAGCTCTTCAGGGAGAATCTAAAAATACAATGAGAAATAGGGTGTTCCATTCAAAAAAATCAAATAGTACCCGGTAGATCGTTTGTTCCCAGCAATTTGTATTTTCTGGTGTAGCGGAAAAAAACTCTATCGAAAATCATTTTAGATGATATTTAAAATTTCTCAATCGGTTCATAAATAACTGAGCTAGAGGGGGGGACATTTATGGTGAATCACCCTGTACATGATTCCAAGGTGGTTTACCCCTCGTCTCCGACAATTTATCCAGTGGTGTGCTACAGGGAGTTGTGGTTTGTTTTCCTCCCATATGTTCTACGACATTGATGACATTTCAGTTTTGTTCAAAAGCTGCATCATCTTCAACTGAGCTGAAATGAACAGTTTCTGAGGTATATGACCGAGAATAGAAATTTGCATAGTAATTTCAGGAGTATTTCAGTAGTAAGAACAAAAATATTTTTCTGGTGTTGAGTAGATTGCACACTTTTTTGATCTTATTCCATAGCTGAAGAGAAATAAATTTTCCATGCAGAAATTTAACGAAAGGATGTGCTGACTGGGCTTGTCCAGTTTGTCTGAATGGTATTGCTAATGATAGAATGATAGCAGGAGTTTCTGAAGAACACCTCGAGTTGAGGTATCAATAGAAAAGTGAAAGGTTGCTGACTTTCCAATTTGTTGCAAGGACATTTTTGTTTGAAATAAAGTTATGCTTTTTTCGGAATTGGCATTGTTCAACATTTTCATAATTGTTGTTTTGAATGTAGTAGAATAAACAAATGTTATGATCATTTTATGATAATTCTCTTATACAAAAGTTAGTCATTTATAATAATAATTTGTCCCAAGTACGGACATGTCATCTCGTTTTCAATTAGGTTGGGATCCAAAAATTAGGAGACAAAAAAATAGTTCATGATTTCATGGATTATAAATGGTAAAGTACCATTTGGGACCACAAATCCATTTTTGTAAAATTTTGTGCCCCCTCATTATTGAAACCTCTAGATTTGACTCAAGTTGATAGGTGAAAGGACCCCGCAAATTTTCAAGGTAATTTGGGTCCCGGTGGATTTTTCTCAATTTTTTGTATGATGTAGTTCATTTGATTCAATTACATATTGGCATTGCGCCAACCCCCAAAAATGAACAGTTTTTTTGCTAGGGGGGGTTGAATTCACATTTTGACCGAATTGATTATTTATTTCTGAGAGAATGAACAATATTCTAGAATTTTTTATTTCATCTAATTTCTCCTATGAATATATGCTTTTTGAAAAAAATATAGTGAGGGGGAATTATTACCCCAAACTCCCATTTTGAAAAACGAAAAAAAAAAGAGAACTCGCCTAACCGTCAAAAGTGATAGAAAATGTTCCACTACCCAGAATTATGGAAACCGCCTTTTTGTATTATTGCCCCTCACCGAATGGGAGGCGCCCATGAAAAAAAAGTTCGGTGGATTCCGCTGAATTTTTGATATGATGTACTCTATATGATACTGATCAGAAAATAATTGGGTGTCAATCCTGAAAAATAGACAGTTTTCCTGCTACAGGGGGTTCAATTCACATTTTGAACACATAAATAGACTAGATGAGTACCTATTTGATTCTGAACTTCTTTTCAATATATCATCTCCATTCCCTATATTCCCTAACAATTATTCATCAAAAAATATTTTGAGGGGGAGGGGGTTCCTACCCCTTCAAAAAGTATTTTGAGAAATATAAAACAAAAATACAGTGCTACCGTGAAGAGCATATAGGAAAGTGATTAATTACGTGAAATTATGGAAAAAGCTCTCTTGAATTTCTATGAGGTGCTTTTTGTGATTCCGATCAATTCCGATTCCAATTATCGGTACCGGTTACCAGAAATGAGCATATCAAAAATTCAGCGAAATCCACCGAACTTTTTTTTCATGGGCGGCTCCCATTCGGTGAGGGGCAATAATACAAAAAGGCGGTTTCCATAATTCTGGGTAATGGAACATTTTCTATCACTTTTGACGGTTAGGAGAAATCTCTTTTTTTTTTCGTTTTTCAAAATGGGAGTTTGAGGTAATAATTCCCCCTCACTATATTTTTTTCAAAAAGCATATATTCATAGGAGAAATCAAATGAAATAAAAAATTCTAGAATATTGTTCATTCTCTCAGAAATAAATAATCAATTCGGCCAAAATGTGAATTCAACCCCCCCTAGCAAAAAAACTGTTCATTTTTGGGGGTTGGCGCAATGCCAATATGTAATTGAATCAAATGAACTACATCATACCAAAAATTGAGAAAAATCCACCGGGACCCAAATTACCTTGAAAATTTGCGGGGTCCTTTGTGAATGAGATTCCAAAATATTGATATACGGGGTGTTCGACTCGAAACCTACTTATCAATTTTTTCAAGGCCGGCCCTGGAATAATACATTTTTTTTATAATGTCTATCGTCACCACTGTGGACAAAGAACATACAAACCAAATATCAAGAAATTCTATAGGGTGGTTCATAAGTTATGATTCATTGAAAAAAAGGAGGGAAATCAATAAATCACCCTGTATCTTCGTTATAAAGAATGATAGACCCATGAAATATAGATTATTTAGATGTACCCCGGTGTCGTCCATCTACCCTTACTGTATGCCCATTTCCCAATGAATCATCCTGAATAAAAAATAAAATCAATAATTTGTTCTCCTCAGGCCTTATAGTGGAATCCTTCATAGGTGGCCTATCCTTTGAAGATGACAAGAAGAAATGCAAGCAATGCCAAATAGCTGTGGGCACTCCAGGTCGAATAAAACATCTCATCTCTGAAGGAATCCTCACATGTGACTCTACTCGTCTGTTTGTCCTCGATGAAACCGATAAATTAATGGACGCTAGCTTTCGCAACGACATAAACCAAATTTACAATGCCTTACCTGCCAAGAAGCAAATCATAACTACCAGCGCCACCTATCCCAATGAACTCCAGCATTTCCTCGCTCAGTATATGCAGTCTCCCACGTATGTCAATGCAGAACTAGAAACACCTTTGCTGTTAGGGTTGAAGCAATTCGTTTCTGTGTTGAAACCACACGCTAATGTCGTTCAACAAATGAAGTTGAAGAATGAGGAACTCTTGAACATACTCAGTAACATATCGTTCACACAGTGTCTCGTCTTTTCTAACTACCAGACCAGGGCAGAGAGTATCAGTAACTACTTGAACCAAAAAGGGTGGACTTCAATGTTCATCTCCGCTGCCCAAAATCAGAGTCAAAGACTGAAGGCGCTCAACAGCTTGAAGGACTTCAAGTGCCGCATAATGCTGTCGACAGACTTGACAGCTAGGGGTATAGATGCCGCCAAAGTCGATCTGGTTATCAACTATGACATTCCGGTTGATGCAATGACTTATTTGCATCGGATGGGAAGAGCAGGGCGATATGGGGCACAGGGTGTTTGCTTGAATTTGGCTTTTGGTGGACAGGAATTGGAGAAGTTGAGGGGGATTTTAGGGCAGATTGGTGGAACTGCTTTGGGGATTCCGAAGTTGCCTAAGTTCAAAGGTGAGTGCAATAGTTTGACGAAATATAACTTAGTCAAAAATGAATTCTGGATATCTCAATGTTATCATGTATATTTTGATTTTTGTTTTTAGGTCACATTTCTGATTTGGTAAAAATCAATACTCCATCTGAGGAACAGATTTTCGGAAAGTTAGATGAATCTCATATTGATTTGACATTGGACAAAAATAAAATATATGAACTAACTAAAAATAGTGCTGCAAATGCTAAACTGGAACACAATGAGAATCATGATATCTTGGAGAGCCAGAAGATTATGAGCACTTTGAATGATAACAAGACTGATTCAGGCGAAGTTGAAAAACAATCATTTGAAATGGATACCAAAGTGGTTTCAGCCTCTATGTCAAATGACAATATTGTTGAAAATAACGAAAGTGATGTTATGGGCATTTTGAATGATAAGAGTGAAATGGCAGATATAAAAAATCTCATTGCAGATATGAATCCCCAAGCCATATTAGCCTCCTTGGCAAATCAAAATTTCAATATGAACACTGCAGCAATTGAACATTCAAATGAAAAAAATACAGAAAGTTCCCATATGGATAAATGTAATAAAAAGGTTCAAAATGATTTACTAGATAAGAGATTCACCGTGAATGATACCTTGATGGCTTTATTAGGTCCTAAAAGAGGTGAAAACACTCCAAGTGAAATGAAAACTGTAAATATTGTATCAGAGGAAGATAAAAGGCAACAATTATTCACCAAAAATAAGGCATTACTGGATGTTGTAAGGCTATTAGATTCACCAAGTCAATCAAAAACGAACGTGAATGGATCTTCAGTTGAACAATATCTAAATATTCTCAAGGAACAAGACAAAGAAAAGCTGAGTGAAATGTCTGAAAAACCCATTCCCGACATTTTGAACTCCTTACAAAATGATGAACTTGAGAAAGAAAACGTTCCTGCAGAAGTGGAAATCATCAACTTGGAAAATATCTTCAAGTTAGGTTATGATTGTATAGTCAAATCAAATAACACTAGCTGGAGACAAATCTTGGAAACAGTAGAAGAGCATCAAACTAGATCCTCTAAGGAAGATACCATGGATGAACTTGGAGATGATGAATATGAAAGTATGGAAGAATACCAAGAATGTGAAGAAATGGAAATAATGAAGTGGGTTCCAGTAAGCAAGACTCATAAACCTCCTACAGCAAGCAAAAATCTTCTGGAAGAAGCCTCAGATGATGGCGAAGTAGTTACCGCAGAAAATAAAGATGGTGAACTAACAAAATGGCAGCCGGCTAGCTCTGCTACTAAAGAACTCCAACAAACTTGTTTATCCGAGTCAGTTAGTGAGGAGATCAACCGATATGACCATTACAGCTCATGTTTTGAAGAGTGCAATCAACAGTTGTGGCAGAATGGTTTGAGTTTCGATAATATGAATAGTTTTGATGAGTGGTTTTATTATGAATGGGAAGCACAGTTGTATGCTATGAGGAACTATGTCCAGCAGAATATTTATGTGCAAGAAATGAGTAGGTATCAGCATTCAAAGACCAATAAATGAAGTTGAACTTCAAATTTCAGACTGAAATATACTGAGGTGGGTATGTAAAATTGAGACAAGTATTCTAGATTGTAAGGATCGATTTTGAGTTTCTAAATATGTGGGTACTCAATATTTAAGAATATTTTCATTACCTTGATCATCTTTTTAGATGATTGTGATTTTGAGATCATTTTCTCGGATGTAAATCCTTCATTACTACAGAAAAACAATAACATGAATTTTCCACATTCAATATGAAATTGAAATAACTCTTTTTATACATTTTCCTGAAGAACTCAGGTGATACCTGTACGACTATCATTATTTTTCCATGATAGTGAAATTCAACCTAGATATTATTCTGAACCTGATGCTCGAATCATTTTCATAATATATGTATAGTCAAAGTTTTTGAACAAAGATTTGTTATAATTGTTATGATAATATTTTGAATGAAACATAACTTTTTTCTGAAAGCTATTTTCTAAACAAATAGCAATAAACATTCTTTGTTTGTAATCTCCCAACAAGTATAAAATAAAGCCTATATACAGGGTGTATCTAAATAACAAAGAAAAAAATCAAGAGGCGATTCCTTGTGATATTCTAGCAAATAAAGTTCATATAAACATGTGTCCTAACTTGCTCCGTTTTTGAGAAACAGGATGTTGAAGTTGGAAGTATCAATTGTTTTTATTTATAACCCCATTGTATAAGCTTTCATGGTGCCAAAATTCAGTATGGTTGGAGACTGACAAAGCCCCAAAATTTCAAAATGATTCTAATTGGGGTTATTGAGTAATCTCAATGGAAGTCTCTACAACACGCCTACATTAAAATTTGGAGTCAAATCGATTTTTTATACTTACAAAAATCACACAAAGGACAAGAAAGTTGTTATTTCAATAGTTCAATCTAATAAAAATATGAAACTCAGAAAAACCGGTGGCGTACAATGACATTCACCATAAATATCGATAAATTTACCCACTGTGACGCCACTGAAAATATTATTTCGAATCTAATTGCACCAGATGAAGCCTCATATCACTATTAACAAAACCACAACGTTTTATCAAATTGATGAAAATACAACTGAGTAATGAATAAAAAAACGATTTTTCATGGAAATATTAATACCCTGTATCTCGAAAATTAAGCAATTTAGGATACATATTCAAATATGGACTTTATTTCCTCAAATATCACAAGCTCTCAACCCTTGAATTTTTTCGGTGTTATTTAGATAAACCCTGTATATGTATGTACCTAATATGTAGTCTGTTAGTTGATCTAGAGTGTATGGGATTCTCTCCCAAAAATATCTCAACTTTACCACTCCGTAAATCGTTATTTCAATAGTTCAATCTAATAAAAATATGAAACTCAGAAAAACCGGTGGCGTACAATGACATTCACCATAAATATCGATAAATGTACCCACTGTGACGCCACTGGAAATATTATTTCCAACCTAATTGCACCAGATGAAGCGTCATATCACTATTAACAAAACCACAACGTTTTATCAAATTGATGAAAATACAACTGAGTAATGAATAAAAAAACGATTTTTCATGGAAATATTAATACCCTGTATCTCGAAAATGAAGCAAGTTAGGACACATGTTCAAATATGAACTTTATTTCCTCAAATATCACAAGGACTCACCCCTTGAATTTTTCCAGTGTTTTTTAGATACACCCTGTATATGTATGTACCTAGTATGTAGTCTATTAGTTGATCTAGAGTTTATGGGATTCTCACCCAAAAATAATTCAACTTTACCACTCCGTAAATCGTTATATAACCAATCAACATTTTACTGAAGTCATTTTTACCAGCATTCTACCCTTGATTTTACCATATCGCTCAGTGAATGATTCATTATGAATTACCTTGTATAACAATTTTCCCAGATAAAATGAGTTCTCTCGATCTTAGAAAAGTTTGTCCAATCACCATGAATCACCACAACCACTGCTCCAAATATGTATTCATGATTCATTTTCTAGATTCTTAACTCTAGTATATTGATTTTGAAATAATTCGGAGCCCCCATATGTAAATATAAAGGCAAGGTCAAGAAGTTTCCCATTTTATTTGTAAACGTCATTATTTTGTTCCCACCACTGCTACCAGAATGGAACAAATAAAACGCAACTAATACTTACCTACTCAAATTCAAAATTGACAGTTGATAGCCTTTTTATTTTATAGAGACAAAACACAACATGCAATGATCGTTTTTGTATTATGTGATTTTTTTGCTTTTGTATAATAATTTTGAAGAGCATTCCGTATCTGCATTCGCGATATTGAAAGTGTGTATTTTTTTCCTGTGAGTAGTGCAACTATTCAATTATTATTCATGGATCAATTCGACTGAAGCAGGTAGGAACCAATTTTAATTATAATGGTATCATTGATTGTTGCTATATTATAATAAGATATATTTCAATAGGTAGATATTGTCACAAGCTTAGCAGTTTCTTCATAAAGGGATATTATGTTATTTTGAGCGTTGAAATGATCGAAATCGAAATGTAATCACTCGCTTAGAATAGTCTTTTCACGGGCACTTTTTTCAAGTGATTCAATAGTTCATCTAAAGTACTGAATAATGCAAAAGTGCTCCCTTGTGGCCCCAAAAATTGATTTATATAGAAAATCACGAAATTGTTTCGAGAGGTTGACTGTGGCAATCCTCTGAATGGAGGATTCATAATTTCACAAGCACATTATTGTAGCATCATCAATGAGCAGACGATTTCAGAAAATCTCACACATTATTCGAAAACGCTCTTTTTGTTGTCGAAAATTCTGCTACTCTTAAAGCCAGGTGGATAACCAGGAATTAACGGTATCCTATTAAAGTTTGAATATCACTTGAACTTTTTTGAATCCACAGAAATGCATAAAAATACAGAACAATGAATATTGAACAGAAAGAACGCATCTTTTGAACACTACATTCCAATTGAGACTCGGTGCATTTGCAAAACAGTTATCGCATATCGAAAAACGTCGAAAATTCGAGTGATCCACTCAATTCTTTGAACACTTTATATACCAGGTCTTCAACAATGATTGAACACCACCTGATAATTAGGTGTTTGCAACCAACACTGCACAGTTGGTAAATAAATACCTGGAAATCAAATCAAAATAAAACATAGGCGTACTAAACAAAATCAAAAGTAGGGTTGTGATTTCACTGAAAATTGAAACAAAGCTGAAACAGAAATATAGCATCCTGCAACCAGAGATTATGCAACGCAAATACAGTGTTTTGATTCAACACTCTGTAAAATATGCAGTCTGTGATTAGAAAATATATCACAACAATGAATTGAAGATGTAATTTTGATAAAAACTGGTTTTTGCAAAGTAATTGTGAGTGAAAGAATCAAATGCGAGAACAATAAAATAAAAACCAGAACCATATGAACTATCAACAAACACAGGAGAAAAGACAACAAAGCGCTACCGGCCTACAGCTGTGCAGTATATACAGGCTGATTCACGGTGAATGGTACATACATTAGACGTTTCCGGAGAACGCAATGTAGGTTTGTTTTGAGAATTTGGTTCCTTCACTAATAAGTTGTGTTCTATCGACCTGAAATATTCTCAGCGCTACGACGTTGCCGCTTATATTGAAAAGTAGCAACAACTTCGATTTTTTGAATGGGACACCCTGTTTTCAGATTCTCCCTGAAGAGCTGATTTCATCGATCTATCACACTTGGGGTCTAGCGGACATGATAATAAAGATATAGGGTGTGAAATATCGAGATTTTTCAACTTTAAGAATTTTTGTGTCGAAACTATTCATAATAGGTCAAAACGGTTTCCATGTCCCTATCTTAACTTTTCACGTACTATTAATAGTTATTTAACCAACTAGTGTATTAATGAGGGCGATTAATGAACGTGCGAGCGAAGCGAGTGCGTTAATGTTCGAGATCATTAATCGCCTTTTAATATACAAGTTGGTTACAAAATTTTTCCGTCGACTATATTTCTCATTTCTCCTGCAATGAAGAAAACTTGTTTCGCCAAATCATCATCCATCCGGAAACTGCTAAGAATCACCCAGTATAGCCTTGTTACTGACATTAGACACATTTGACATTTGTCGAAATGATCAACATAGGAAATAAATTCCTTGTGTTAGAAAACAGGGATTAATATCATGTCAGAAACTTGGAAAGGGGAACCCGTTAACGGAAAATCGTCGATGAAATCCATATTTTCGATTTAAATGCAGATTCCGTAAGTTATAGCATATACAATGAATGCACGCGGTGTATGTTTGGTTGCCTATAAAACAATCGTGTATTAATAGACAAATCGTTCATTAATAGGGGTCATTAATGAACGATTTCATATACATTAAACTTAGTCGTTAATACGAGGTCGACGGAAATTGATATTTAATTGAAATAGATACAGGGTGGTCAAAAATAGTAATTCTGAACCATCCTGTATTTATTTCAATCAAATATCAATTGATAGTGAATAAAATGTGTCAATTATGAATATTTTCGACACAAAAAATTCCTAAAGTTGAAAAATCTCGAGTTTACACATTCTATAACTCTTTATTTATTACTGCTAGACCCCAAGTGTCATTGATCAATGAAATCAGCTCTTCAGGAAGAATCTGAAAATTGAATAATATACAGGGTGTCTCATTTAAAAAATCAATGTAGTTGCTACTTTTCAATATAAGCGGCAGCGTCGCTATGCTGAGAATATTTAAGGTCGATACAACACAACTTATTATTCAAGGCACCAATTTTTCAGAATAATCCTGAGTTGCGTTCTCCAGAAACGTCTAATGTGCCATCCACCGTGAATCAGCCTGTATATGGAAAACATCGTGGAAAACACAAAATTGATTAGATAGATTCCCAATCCAACTTTCCTGTTTTTAATTTTTGTAAACAAGACAAGCTATTGGCTGCTACGGCAGTTGACACGTTTACGGGCCCAATCAAATTGCGAAGGACGTGATCGAACCACAGAACGTATACACCTTAGATTATTTAAGGTATACACTGCAAACTACAGTTATGAATGATCTAAGATGCAAATATGACATATATGAGGATGTTACCTCAGTAAACATGATAACAAAAATGTATTGTTGGTTGCATACGAATATGGTCACGTGGTGTTCAATCATTGTTGAAGATCCGGTACAAAGAATGTTATGAAAATTCGCCAACATGTGAGCCTGATGATGTACCTAAAGTAGAATAATTATGGTGAACTCTTTCATCATATAATCTATCAAAGTAAAAGTCTTTCTCGATGAGCCTCTATCTATACCTTCGACTGATCTACAAAAGATCATTTCAAAATATCAAATGAAAGCTAGATTAGATGGAGATGAAATAAAATGCCTTCACTGTTTAATTTACCAATTTTATTGTAACAATTTATATTGTGTTGCTGTAATACAGAGGCGTGAACAATTGATCATTTGTAGCATAAATTCATGTTTCCAAAACGAAAATTCTTTACTATTATCTTATTTTATCACCGTCGATTCAATTTTGCACCAAGCATGTCTCAGGAAGTAGAAACTCCTAATTTTTAATATTCTACATAGTCACATATATTATTCAAATTAAAATAGTGATTGATTAGATTGATTTTTATCCATCTCTGCACATCTGGAGTGATCATATCACTTTGATACATTAGTGTTACAGTCACCGTTTTTGTAAACACTTGCTTCATAAGCTATTTACCTATATTTCGAGCATATACAGGGTGTTTCTTAAGTACGTGTAGAAAATTCAGGAGCATGTTGCTGACGTCAAAATGAGAAGAAAAGTTCGTATAAACATATGTCCGAAAGTTATCCATTTCTGAAATACAGAGTGTCATTTTTGTTAATAAATTTCAAAATTATTGTGATATTGGAATGAAATTTGGTATCTAGGTGTATTTTTCAATGACAATATCAAATTTTATGTTAGTTTGTCTCTTTCGTGGGGGTGGCGCCACCTACATGTCTTTTGAGACTTGAAAAGTCATAACTTTTTCGTGCGTACCTGTATAACGTTTTATAGTAGAAAAATAGATTTCTATAACACTTTTGTGTAAAAAATATATTAATGGTAGAGGTCGCTGCGAGCAACTGTTTTCGAGTTATTGGGATCTGAAATAATCAATGCAATTTGGAGTGACAAGAAGTTGGAATTGAAAATTGATTTATTAAGTAAGGGAAATTCTTTTTCTTTGATTTCATTGAAAAATCGGAATCGTGTGTTATTACAATCAAATACTAATAATGATAACAGTAATTGAGACCAAATTGATACTTAAACAGTTAGTTGAAAAAGCTTGGATCACAAGTACAGGATTGAAATAAGATGACAAGTACTCACTGGATTGTTATTTTTTTAAATTGGAAGAGTCCAAAAAGTAGTTAAAAAGAAGTACCTAAGAATCATATATTTTGCCTACATTCCAATGTTATTGAATGGAAGAAGAAAAATGCACTGGCGTACCTTTTCTGATATTCACTAGAGGCGACTTACGAGTCACATGGAAATAATTCAAATGCATCGATTATTTCGAATCCCAATAACTCGAAAACAGTTGCTCGCAGCGACCTCTACCAGGAATATATTGTTTACACAAAAGTGTTCTAGAAATCTATTTTTCTACTATGGAACATTATACAGGTACGCACAAAATAGTTATGACTTTCCAAAAGACTCATGTAGGTGGCGCCAACCTCACGAAAGAGACAAACTTTCATAAAATTTGATATTGTCATTGAAAAATACCCCTAGATACAAAATTTTATTCCAATATCACAATTATATTGGAATTTATTAACAAAAAACAAAAATAAGAATTCAACTTTGACACTCTGTATCTCAGAAACGAATAACTTTCGGACATATATTTATTCGAACTTTTCTCCATAAGTTGACGTCAGCAACATGCTCCTGAATTTTCTACTTAAGATACACCCTGTACATATAGTAGAATGTGAAAACCCAAATTTGGTGCCAGAGAGGAATTGATAGTGATAAAGGGTGTACACCACAAATGTATCAAATATGATTGATCTCTCCTACTAACCTAGAATTTCGCGTCTAGATATGTGTGAATCAACCATAATAAACTACTATACAGATTTTCGAAAAACGATAGTATTTATCCTATGTAAGAACAGAAAAAAGATATATAGAGCTGATTCGTCTAATAGATGACACGCTGGCCGTAAAACCGTTGATTATTTTATAAAAAATAACAATATATTCACTTACAATCTCTCTCGAAAGTAGGCTCATAATTGTTTGGTTCACCGAATCCAGTCCGTACTCAATTCATTTTTATATAGTCATAAGTGAGCACAAGCCAAATTTCATTGTCTGATCACTTTTCCCACCTCATTTCTATCGATTTAAAAATTTGCTGAGACAGAATTCCGAAATCTGACATTATTGATAGCTTTAATTCTATTTCGCAGTTCTTGAAAAGAATGAACCCACTGAAAGTGCGAAAAGAGAAAATACTGAGTACCATATCAAGCAATAGCCGAAGTGAACCTACAGTATTGAGTAAATCTTTTTAATTATTGTGACCAGTTTGAAATGTCACAGTGATCAGATAATATTTTTACCAAGAAAATAATAATAAAAATCCTCACTGGGGGAAGCGTAAATCATAAATGAAGAACAAATTATGACAATTCAGTAAAGAATAAAGACCCTTTCCGGAAGTGTCGTCCCAAAATATCTTTACATTTTGTTCTTTACTCCTTATTCATAAATTGAAACAGTGTGCTAAGATGTGAAATTGAACCATGAACTACTGTCTCTGGATTCGGTTTACCATGGTACAAATAGAATAACAAAATTCTCTCACTCTGCTTAAACAGTGTAACTTATTGCTGCAATCATTGACATTTTTGATACAGACTAACAAATGAAGCAAAAAATTTCACAACAAATTCAAATGATTTTGTGATTGAAAGAGGACATTTATAAAAAATCTAACTTGGTTTCAAATGGTTTGTTCGATATTTTTTGCTTCATCCGATGTGCAATTAATTTCTTAAAACACAACCTATAAATTCAACTTGATAACAGTTTTAAGTATACACATATATTTGCAGGAAATCAAGTCTTTTTAAATAAGTTCTATTCTTTCACTGCACCTGTCACTCATCTTCTTTCGCAAAATATAACACTAAGTAAAAATAATTGAAAAATTCGATTCACAACTTTAGTAGCTTTAGAATATATATTTTTCTCCAAAAACCTAACTGTATAACATCTCCAACCGACTAAATAACAAAGCACTTCGAAATGCACCAAATTCTAATGATTGCGATCGTCATTGTACATCATAAGTGTACCTAACCTTGTCGATTTGCTATCTTGCCAAACCGTTGATGGTTCCACTCTCTCTCGATGATGATCCTAATATCTGAAAAAAAAAATGTGGTTTGGTGTGCATGACCTTCCTATCTTTGTCGTTCAATTCCTCAGATTGAAGGCTGAGACGTAATTGAAATTTCATGTTATAAGTTTTAGGGTTCAAGATTCAAGAATTATGCATCAAAAATAAAAACAGGATCCAAAACAGAATCAAAATATGAAAGCTGGAATTCCACCAATAAGGTTCTATGACTTTATCACCTGAATCAACTGAACTATTTACAGTATCATTCTCTTCATCACTTTGTGTATTTTCGTCAGGACATTCAGTTATTTCAGTATCAGTTTCATTTTCTAATAATATCATGTCCGAATAATCTGAATTCGTATAATCATGAAAATATGTCGTATAATATGAAAATATGTGTTATGTGGCATGCATCAATGCATCATACAGCTGCACAGAAATTCAGGAATAGTTCCGTGTGAATAAGGATTGCTGTGATTGGTTGGGTTTCTGAATTTTAAATCATAAAAACCATCACGTCCGTATCTTAAAACATGAAACTTATTTCCTAATTCATAAATTTGTATATTCTGTCTTTCTCCACAAGGACCTGTGTGTTCATTTTATAATACTTCAATCTTAAATCATAAAACTTAAAACTTATAACATAAAACTTCAATTGTGTCTCAGCCTTAAGTCGAAATAAGTTTTATTCCTTTGTTTCCACATCCAGTGCTGCCAACTCAGTTTTTGAGAAATCGGGAGACAAGTGATCAAAATGTCGAGAGATTCATCCTTGAAATCGGGAGATTACTCTATTCATGTTATTATATCATAATTTCTATGATGATTACACGGTTGATTACGGATTGTACCGAACTCAAAGAACTGACTTCTGTAGGCTGTGCACGTGTTGTATGATGTTATAATAGTAAAGCGGGGTATCCAAACTTTGGATTCCAGAGTGAACTGCTAATTAAAGTCTAGGCCATCAGGGCCTGCTGACTTACTCAATTTTTTTCACCCATTATTCATTATTATATTTCTTTGCAAAAATTTATTATTTAGGTACAACCTCGAGCACCCCGACCTCGTCTATACGTCATACAGCATTCCGTTACGATGTCAGATCAAAAGTCAAATCACATGCACTAGGCAGGCGAGATTTTTCTTTGGCACAGAACCATATACCTATACTTATATCACAGTTTATCCATTGAGATGTGCTTGTCTCGATGTTTCCTTTTTCTTCACGTTTTCGGGCTATGGACCATACGGACAATATTTACTGCTGCCACTTTCTAAACTCAGAAGATTTCAACTGAAAGTCGGTGGATTATCTATGATTTTTTTTACTAACGGTAGATTTAGATAGTGAATCGTTAGTCGGGAGAAAATTCAGAAAATCGGGAGATCTCCCTATATATCGGGGTGGTTGGCAGCACTATCCACATCTTATGTTCATTTGATAAATGGCATGAAGTATATTCTCTATTTTTCTTCAGCTCACATCAACTCAATTATCTCAATAGGACACTCTACATATTATTCCACCGTCCCTCATGGGATTTACAATACGAATTAAATTACAAACTGAACTATCCAAAACGATATGATTATACAGGGTGTGACCAAAATCTTTGGTTACCTACCTGTAACTGCTACGACGTTTGATTGTGTCCTTTGATCTGCACAGTATTATTCGCCTGCTTGGCAGCTCCCATATACAGCAACCTAGTGTCCTCAGTAGGGGAGTTTTCCAGTGGTGGTGGTGGCGGACAAATATATAGTGGTGCCTCGTTCATACTATCTCCGCACATTTTCAGCTTGTTGGAGTCAACCTTGTCAAGAATGAAATACATCAAATTTAGCCATATCATATTTGTTGGATTACTTTTATTCAAAAGACAACCGCAAGAAATGAAGGATACAAGAGATGAGTTAAGAGCGTAATTTAATTTCGAAAAATGCATAGTCCTCGCTGGATCAACTGAATGAAGGAGTGTAATTGGACTCAGAAATACGGGGAGCAAATCTGAACTGCTCCGTAGGCTACCTGGATACCTGTGTACCTAGGTACCTGTGTATATGGGTACCTGGGTGGATATTACATGTTCACTTTGATATCCAAATAAAAGAACTTGGTGAGCTTTCAAGGACCTATCAAATAGACGTATTCCTAAGATTCATTTGTGATTCCCTTTTTTTATATCTCTTGGAGCGCCCGAAATGAAATTCTTATAATTTTCGAGGAACATCCTGCGTAAATGAGAGCATGGCCGTGCCTTGGAGGAAGGGAGGATAGGGAGAGGAGGTAGGTGTTGGGATACGTTTTCCGTTCTATAGACGAACGAGTTTGGGTATAGTGTTGTTAGACAGATTTCAAGGTTGACAACGAAAGGATGTGCTGAATGATAGCAGAGATTTCTGAGAAATATTTTCCGTGGAAGTATCTACAGAAAAGTGTTCTAAGGAGGTCACATGGTCATTCTACAAGAAGTACAAATGGAATCTGCAACCAAACCATCGGACTCAATGCCAGCCAGGCTCTATTTCGACCCTGCCTTTGAAGTGGTTATAAAAAGTCGCCCTAGATACGGTTCCGCTGAGCCTCAACTGGACAGAGGGTCCCTTATCTAAAACATCGATAGTTCGAAAATGGAAGAAGGGGTAGGCGCGGATGTATATGGACCCGGATGTAGGCTATTTGAAGCCTCAGGTCACTCCCTCACTTTCTACCAAGCTGAAATACATGTCATCAACCTATGCGCCTAAAGGTGCCTGAGCAAAGGTCTGAGGGGTGCCAACATATATCTCTGCTCAGATAGCCAAGCCGCACTAAAAGCCCTAAAATCATTTGTTTTCACATCAGAGATTTCATGGGACTGCTTTGAAACACTCATGCTTCAAGGGAGAACTCAGGAGATGGGAAGAAATTGATGTCCTCCTACTGGAGAGCAACTCCAGGTCAACGACAAGCGAGAAGGTTCATCAACTATTCGCAGAACCGAGCCAAAGAGCTACTCAGCCTCAGAAAACCAGAGCTAAAGCTTATCCCAGGATTTCTTACAGAAAAGGCTCTCTGAGGTACCACCTCAAAAAGATGGGCCTGGCGGAGACTGACAGTTGCCGCTCTTGCAACAATGCGATCGAAACCGCGGAACACATACTTTGGTCATGTAAAGTATTAGTCCGTCAAAGGCTGGTTCACCTAGAACAGGTCTATCTCACACCTGCTGAGGTGGAAAATTCAACCGTCAGGAAAATTCTAGGCTTCATCAGGAGTGTAGGGTTAGAGAACCAAAACTAGATAAGGGTAATCACAATAGATCTTCTAGGCCGCAGTGATCGTGAAGTCTCCCAGCCTATTCGACCCATCTACAATGTACAAGGAGGTCAAAGGATTAGTGAGTGTGAAGTACCATTTTCATTCGCTTTATGCTCATTTTGAGGCTTGATACGGAATAAAGGTGAAATTATGTCATGCCAGAAATTACCTTCGGTTCGTTATTGCACGCTTGCTTCTCTTTGATCAAGATATCGTCCAGTAGGAACAACTGGGACTTCAGCAGCCTGGTGCGCTCCAGTTCGTGTTGGTACGTCAGGCTGTTTTTGGACGCTGCTTTTTGACTGACCGACCTCCGGTTGACCGGCGGCGATGACATGCGTTTGTTCGGAGAGTATTCGTTGCCGAAGGACACCTCGAAGCCCGAAACGTTGTCGGAGATGAGTCGTTCGCTTTCAGGGTCCGTGCAGCGGTTGCCGCTGCTGTCTGATTTTTTCAAAATGGATTTCGACCTTCTGTGGAGCTCCAGTTGGGGGCTGGTGCGACTGTCTATCGAGTCGACTGAGAGAGAGGATTTACTTCCAGAGTTTCTACCTGAAATTTTTTAATTCCGATTGGAATGTGAAATTTTTCTATGGTGTCTGAGATGTTTAGTTACTATACGCTTTTATCTGGTCGCTTTTTGTATGTATGTATGTCTGTCTGTCTGTCGTCTGTCTGTTCACAAACAATTTTGTAATTGAATCTTCACCCACTTCCCATCGACCGATTGAGATGAATTTCGGCAGGTTTATACCGGGTGCCCAGATTTTTTCATACAGTCAGTATATCAGTTTTGCTGCTTGGAAAAAAAATTAGAAATAACATTTTTGTCAAACCCAAATGACTTTGGAACGATTGTGTCAAAGTCAACTTCTGTTAAACTACACCTAAAAAAACACCTCCAACTTCATTTTTCAAGTTACATTCTATACATCTTTCGTTGATATGTGGAGTGCAATCGATTCTAACTTCAACGATTTATCACACTTGATGATTTGACTGACGTGCGAATTGAATACTCATTTGGAGTAAACGAAAAAGGTCTCGTCTTAGTTGAATGTACAGTCAGATGCAAAGAACATGTCGTGGTTGGATGGTGTTAGCGCTCTTATTGCAGAAATGACTAAAGGTCGTGCTATCACCGTCCATGTGCGACATGTTCATTGCATATACCTACAAACCGACTAAAAGGCGCGTGCACGAACAACTGCCAAAAAATAGAACGAAATAAAAAAGAATCTACCCATGATTCTGTTTCTTTCGAATTTTGTAATTATGTCAAAATATCAAGTGTGATACATCGGTGAAGTTAGAATTGATTGCACTAATCCACAAAAAAATTTATTGGGTGTAACTCGAAGAAATTAAGTTGGGGTGGTTTTTCAGAAGTCTGACAAAAGTTGACTTTGACACAATGGCTTCAAAGTCCTTTGGGTTTGACAAATTGTAATTTTTTATTTTTTTTCCAAGCAGCATAACTGAGATATTGGCTCTATGAATAGATCATCGCCCTAGCTTCTCAGGTAAGGCACTAGCCGTTCGAAATCTGAGGTAGTGTCGAGCGCGGTTAGTACTTGGATGGGTGACCATTCAAGGAAACGCCGCGTAAGCCCTCACATCTCTAGCGAAATAGCATAGATACAGCAACCATATAAATGAGCACAATATATGGTACAGATATGCCGTCCTTCGAAGGGGACGTTAAGCCGGCGGTTCCGAGGCCATGGATGTTGGACTCGTTAAAGATCCCTACCTCTGGTTGTAGCACCAGAGGATTCGGAAAAATTTCCGGTTGGGGGTAGTGTGCTCACCGACGTCGGTGATTAGCCTCAGTAGCAGAAAAAGGCCAACATTGAAGAAACAATGAAGAAGAAGATCTGGGACACCCAGTATAGTTTCTGTTCTAATGTAATTTGACACTTTCACTGCAAAAATTTTCAAAATGGCGTCTACAAGATGACAGATTTTGTATTTCGTCACTTCTTTCCAATCAGGAACCAAAGACAACTTGTATTATCGCGAAAACACTAGGTGTCTTTCAATTCTGATTGGACTATCAGCTTTGGCGTTTTCAACGATGTAACCACGAAAAACAGCAAAGTTTCTCAGTTTGACATGAAATAATTGTAGCTGTAGACGTCAGAATGAACCGTTTTGGTTATAATGGCTTGTTCATGTATATAATAAATGTTTCTTATGCTTTGTGAAACAGTCTAGCAAGTTATCACTATGTTCTGAATATGTTTGGTACCTCCAAGACTGCAGACAAGTTTGTAATTTTTACTTTCGAATTTCCAGTCAGAACATGGAAATTCAAGATGGTACCTGTTCCAGATCTGACCACAGCTAACCATCTGTTGTCGGTCTCGATTTCAACCAACATATTCTTACTTCCATGACTTCCAACTGATATATTCATCTTAAAAATTATCGAAATAATCTAGATAAGATTGTAGAGATCAGGAAGATTGATGATGGCAACTATTTCGTGTTCACCTCTATTTCATAGAACATAAAATGTTATCGAATGACTTGCATACTGACCTGTTTTTTGAGCCAAATTCTGCAGACCAAACAAGTGTTGGTTTATGATACGTGTAGCTGAAGCCAGGCTTCTTGAAGGTACGAAAGAAGTCTTCCTCTTTTTCTCCAAACTTTCCTGCGATTCATTCTCACAAAAGTCTCCAAATCTCGTTCTCGGTCGACCCTGAAACATTGGGATATTTTGTTCAAGATGTCGACATAATTGCACAAAAAATAATCTAAATGTATCTTCGCTGCAAAAAAGACTGAATCAGAGATGGAAGAGACGAGATGAAGTTTATAGACAATAAAGAACATAAATTAGCAACAATATGCAATAATACTAAAAGGATATAGTAGAATGTTATTATTTCTTCCATGTGGAATGCACAGCATCGGTTGAAGTTGACAATGTGAAGATCCCAAACTAGGAGAAAAATAGTAGAAATTGAAGTTGCACCAAGGGCTATGCGGAGTTGAGTAGTTTCGAAAGAGTAAGAGTATTAGCAAGGAAGCTTTGACCATGCAAATAAGCGAGAGCCTCAATGGTCACTGGGTATTGTCGGAAAATGTCTGCTGGTGCCTTCGAAATCGGCATTCAATCACCTGTCAACGTACTGCAACCCTTTGATGGTGCAATGATTTATGGGAAAGCAAAAAACGCAATGTTGGGTCATAGAAACGCCAATCTCACTGTGCCCAACATTAGCTTGTCAGGAGTAACCATACCTTTGAAGACATCCATTTCGATGCTTGTTATTACTATCAGCAATAACCTTTCTTGGGAAAATCACGTGAGATCAATTGCTAAAAGTGCATCCCCAAAAATTGGTTTTCTGTTTCGGGCCAGGAGCTATTGCACTTCCAGTCAGCTGCTTATGATCTATAATGCACAGATCCGACCTGTTCTGGGATACTGTTCCCACATTTGGAGTGCAGCACCCAAACATAACCTGAAACTGTTCGATTCTGTCCAAAGAAGGGCAATTCGTCTCCTGGGTGATGCCTCGCTCACAAAGTCACTCACTTCTCTGGAACACCGTAAAAAAGCTGGCGATCTGGCTCTATTTTATAGATATCTCCATGGACGATGCTCTTCTGAAATATCAACAATTGTTCCTCCCTTGGCAGTCCCCGCGAGATTAACCCGTCGAGTTGAGGCTTCGCACCCCTTCGTGGTCACTTTGGACACCTGCAGAACATCTCTTTCCAAAGACTCGTTCATCCAACGAACAGCGAGCCTCTGAAACACTTTACCAAGGGAGGTGTTCCCCGAGGCATATAACCTCCAGAAATTTGAGAAGAACACCAAATCCTACCTCATTTCCCTTGGTTCTCACGATGTTCTCTGAACATTACAGGATATTCCTTCTCGTGGGAACCAGAACATAAAAAAAATACCGACAAACGGATTCCAGTGAGTGACCTATCTTCTAGAATTCAGTTATCTTTGGCGTGTTCTCCAACGCTCTCAAGAACAAATCGTCGAAGTCTCACCTTGAACCTCGTTTTCCTGTTCTTCATCATCGGCGAATCATTCAAGCTGACCCTACTTCCCCTCTCCGACGCCTCGAAACCCTTGAACCCCTCGTCCATGGGCGACGTTCCCAGGCTCCTCAGCCCCGTGTCCCCTGAAGCGCTTTTTTTCACGCAGGCGCTTCTCCCCACCCCTGAAGATATTACGGGGCTGTTGTTGCCGCTCTTGTCCAAAGGATTGACGTACAAGTTGCTGTCGATGACGTTGGGGGTGTCGGCTGTCACGTCGTCTGCCAAATCGCCCTGTAAGAGATGGCAATGATAATAGGATTAGTATCGACACAGCGATAGATTTCTGGAGGCCCCACTCTTCAATTGTTTTGTCAGAATCATAACTCTCGACATAAACAGTTGAATTTGGAATCAAAGCATATGAGAATATTATATTTGATGAGCCTTAACCCTGAGAAGCACTTCCATCACGTGATAAGTTGATGTTTAGTCAACTGTGGAGGCCAAGTTTGGTCAAGAAGTTGTACGCAGGTCGGCTAATAGCTTAGCGTCAACCAATCGTGTTCATTGGTGAACTTATCTAGGCTTTAATTCTAAGAATATCTGCGAGCAAATGAGCATGAGTTACAGTCACCCTTTTATGGGTTTCGGGACATTCTAGAGTAGAAGGAAATGAGTAGTGGACAAACTTGTTATAGAAAAGAAGCTCAAACACCCTTCATGGGGCCAGAACTTCTTTGCTAGATCTGTTGCAGTACCGTATCAGAAAAAATCAGAAAAGAAGAAGCTAAACAGAGCTTATAGACACCTGGTAAAATCTTCAAGGTCTCGATAGGCTAAGATACTACTGGGTATATTAAACCCCAAAAGATCGAACGTATCATAATATGTCAGCCTAAGCAAAAATAAACTTCGTATACCTACTAATAACAGTCCTATCAGAGCACTGCAGGTTGAAAGGACATAGAAAGCTCGGCTTAGAAAATGACCCTACCCAGAAGCTCCTCATCCTGAAATTTCTGACGGATATAGGACTAGAGAAATTGATATACGATGAATAACTTTATCGGGTATATAGCCCCCCACAATAGATTTTCTAGGTCGCATGCATACAATAGAATATGTGAATTGAGTGAGTGTATTGTACTTGTTTCATGTAACCTTTTTTGTATTCTATATGAGTTTATATCAAAATATGTTCAAGTTTCTATCTAGCTCAACAGTTGCAATCTGTTGAATATGATCATTTTCAATCTTTGGTAGAAGTATATATTGTCCAAAGTGGAGTGAAATTCTTTTGAATGCTCGAAGTCCTCTCCACAAATTTTAATGGTGTTGTTACACAATCAGAAAGGACATATTTCGGTCTTATAACAGACCATCTCCAGCCTAATTGAAAGTTCTACAATACAAAAAGATTGACGTGAAAGCATTATATTATTTGTTCTTGACTTACTTGGAGTTGAAAAAATGTGATGCTACTAGTTGTGAAATTGTTGTAAATGCCCATAGTTGAAAAATCATTTTATAAACTCGATTTTTCGGAGAAAGAAATCCCTCTGAAGATTTTTATATAAAGTGTGGTCGACCGACTTTCTGTTGCTCGTTTTTTTTTTTCGAAATTACTTCGGACCACTTTGAGATATGGATGATTTGCATGATTTATCTAATGCCAGTCAAGCTTTAATCATCCTGAAGTACCAGCATAATATGATGATGTGGAAGAAATCCCTCTGAAGATTTTATTATAAAGTGTGGTCGACCGACTTTGTGTTGCTTGTTTTTTTTTTAAATTACTTTGAGCCACTTTTAGATATGGATGATTTTCATAATTTTAATAAAATGTTATTTGAACCCTCCAAATTTCATAAATCTCAAGTAATTCAGAAGTTACAGGTGCGGCCTGGTTCTCGTGGTCACCCGGTATATCAAAGAAGCAATTGATCAATTCGGATTATGAAAATACGAATTAATTTTGCTTAAGTGGTACCCTGTGCCCTACCGTCCCCCAGGCCCTAGACGATAACGAGAGATTTCTAAACTTCCTCCAAGAGGAAATGATTACACCATTTGGATTTCTATATATACAACTATGTGACCCCTACCTGGGAATTGAATGGATTGGTTCTGCAGCTAGCAAAGGTGTCCGAACTGTCCATGCTGTGCAAATCGGTGCCGTTCAGGGTGTTCTTTTTTTCGACGTCAACTTCTGGAAAGAAGGCTAGATTCTGTTCGGATTCCTTTAGGATCCTCATTTCGAGGCAAACGGGGTTTTTGAAGTCGCTGGTGGTCAGAGGCATCAGGTTTTCGGCGTCTACGAATTCTTTGAAGTCCTAAGACAATCAAAAGATAAATTTCGATCGTTTTTTCCCATATTATTGATAATGTCTTCTTCATGATATTCTCTTTTTCTCGAACAATCATTTCATTAGCAGGATTTGTGTTACTTGAGGTCTGTAGATGGTGTCTCTACAATTGGGTGATCAATGAAATAGGTAATAGAATACGGTAAAACAGGACGAAACGAAAGTAATATTTTACCGAAAATTTGGCGTACCTATGCAAAGAGAGGTGAGGATAACTTGGAACTTGCATATGGAGGAAGAGATTCGAAACTAGAGTAGAGGGCCGTAATTAGCCCAAGTAGAACATACTCGCGAGTAAAAAGTAAGGAAATATGCAAAACATATTATTATGGATGAAAAGTGCAATGTATTGCAACGAGAGGTGGAAACAACTTCATAGACCTGCAAATAAGGAAAGAGGTCCGAAACTATAGAAAGTCAAGCAGTTGATGGTCAAGATCTTGGAATTTTTCGATCGAGGTAGTGTCCTAATGTTCGTACAGTATAAATCGAAAGTATTATGGCTCATACGCTCTTATATCTCTTGCACAGGATAGCTTGAAACTTGCAGATGAAGGAAGAGATTCAAAACTAGAAGAGGATACCTAGTAGTTAACTCAAGTAGACATAGATAGAATGAAAAGAACTGAGTATTGGTCAGAGGTGTTATTTATAGTAAACGAAAAGTGAAAACAACTTCATAGAGATATGTAAGTGCAGGAAGAAGCCTGGAATACCAATATGTCATTGATCCTAGTAGGATATCCTCGTAAGTGGAAAGATCTAAGAGCTTCATCAGTCAAGGAGTTAAGGTAGGAGACTTCTGGCTCATGTATACCTCTCACAACAATGAGGAATGGGTACAACTTGAGGCTTGCAAATGAAGGAAGAGGTTCGAAATTAGGGGACCAAGTAGTATTTAGTCGAAGTAGAACATTCTTGTAAGTGAGAACTGAGAATCAATACAGATTGAATTAATTTTTTATGTATCAACGAGAGGTTGAAAATTCTTTTGAGACCTGTAGTTGTTGAAGAATATTCAAGTAACAGTAGAACATAAGTGTGAGGAAATCTAGATCTATCAGGTTAGATTTCTAAATTTCGTATAGTCTTATGGCTCATGTATACCTACCTCTCTTAGTAATGAAATGTGGAGATAATTAGAGAACTGAAGGAAGAGGTTCCTAACTGAAAGACTAGGTATATAGATTAGGCTGAAAATGAAGAAGATAGATATCACTTGCCTGGAGGTGGAGACAGAGTTTCAAGCAGCTTTCATCATCAAGTCAAGACGTATTCTGCATCGAACATTGTCGCTATATGAATTATTACATACTCTACTGCCTGGAAAGCGAATTTTCACATCATAGTGATCGTTGGTGATAGATTCAAGAAATGGAAATCATTGATTATTTGACCATCTCATACATTTGGATATCATTAGCGAAACATATTCTCATATCATCGTTTTACCTGTATGTTCTTCAATATGTTTACACCAATCGAAGTTTCCTATCTCAAGTACCACAAATCCTTATACTGAAATTTCACGTTCCAATTTCAGTGATTAACTATAATTAGGATGGCAAGAACTCATGGGTGAAATATGCCAGGAAAACTGTCTTCCAATATGGTCGACTATTATAGCTTTGTCCATATATCACGAAAGTTTGCGGAGTTGGAGCCTATAAAGTCATAGTGGAAGCACGAAGACTTTTGAAATTTTGAGAGTGAATCCACTTAACCTACTTGTAAGTGCCAACGCCGAAACTTTTCTATGAACTTCCTAAGGATGGTAAGGCACGACATTCGTTTACAGAGGACTTTCCCAGATCCCAGACTCAGAAGTAATAATATTAGTTCCATCTGCCGGTAAAATACTCATAAATTGTTATTCTTGTAAGCATTGTGTCCACGGAAGTGCACTGTATAGTGAGTGTTTCAAAGTTTCCAACTTCCTTCTTTTTTTTTTAGATAAAGAATAGATGGCTATGGTCTAGTGTTTTCCTGTGTAACTTTTATCTCATTCAGCAGTACTCTGATGACACAATCTGAAGATCGGTTCTGAACCCTTGGGCTGTTTGATTTTTACTGTAAAGAAAGCACTTATTCATTTGTATCTTAGTTAGAGTTAGAAACTCGATTATGGGTCGGTTGAAAAGTGAAGAATATATTGGTCATGGAAAGTAGAGATATATGATGTTCGAAAATATCATCAACCAGGAAGAAGCAAACCAAAACAAATGTACTGGTTGTTTCTAAATGTCATGTATGTTCATACATATTGAAGTGGATGATTAGTTTATTTTTGGATGAAGTTCGTATAATTTTCCTGTTATTTTTTCAGGCCGTGGAAAATGGTGGAAAATGGATATCCTGTAATGTTCAGAGAACATCGTGAGAACCAAGGGAAATAAGGAAGGAATTGGTGTTCTCCTTAAATTTCTGGAGATTATATGCCTCGGGAAACACCGCCCTTGGCAATGTGTTCCAGATCCTCGCTGTTCGTTGGATGAACGGGTCTTTGAAAAGAGATGTTCTGCAGGTCTCCAAAGTATGAGAATTTAGTGGAAATCTTATCGTTTGTGAAGTTTTTACATTCGTTATTCATTGTATTAAAAAACAGACAATAGTATCCCCCTAACGGCGCCACTGGAAATTCGATTGGCCGAATGTTGTCACTATTTCATTTTTGCCCTCAGGGTCACAACAAATCATTGAAATATTTCCGAACATTCATAGTATAATACCTATTCAAATAAGCCAAAAAATTAACTCCTTCAATATCATGTACATGACTTTTAGTACATACTGTATACAGCTTCTTAATTTCTTGGTTTATTGTAAAACTTTCTCTTATTTTCATGGAAATCCATACTAGAGGTAATGTATCAACTACCCGAATGATAAAAAATCTCCACATGCGTAGGTTATTCTATTTGGGTATTTGACTTTGAGCAGCTACTGTCCTGCTTTTCAGAAGTCTAACGCTTGTGGAGTTCTAACAATTAATAGTTATTAGCTGACATTAGATAATACAGCTGAAACATTTTTTGATTTCAGTATGTATGGACACCTATTAATCGTCTCCATTTTCGAAGCAAATCATCAAGTGTGAATACTCAATGATATAATTATGCAGACAAAAGTTATCGTGACTGCTAGATTTACTTATCGCCTGGAACCATTCTAGTTCGTTTTTCTCAATTACATTAGCTTTTCAATGTTGGCCACGAAAATTCCGTTCGGTATTTGCGACTATTAAATACCGAGTGTCAATCTATTCTCGGTTTAGATTATGCCCAGTCGATAATATATCAAGTCAATTCATTTTCTGACACGCTATCCAAAGGAAGTTATTCATCCTTGTCCTGTCGGGTGATTGAGAAGTCCGAAGGGACGTCTAAATTTATCAGTCTAAAGGCCACACCTGTAGGTTTTGGAGGTCAGATTCATAATATAAAAATACACTTTCAGAACTGAATAAAAGGAGAAGGATTGACGAGGACGAATGTGTGAATTCAATTTAAATGTACGGGTGATTCTCCATAAATGTCCCCCCCTCTAGCTCATTTATTTTTGAACCGATTTAAAAATTTGAAAAATAATCTAAAATGATTTTTCAGATTTTTTTTCCCGTTGCATCAGAAAATACAGGGTGCTCGGAACAAATGATCTACAGAGTACTACTTGATTCTTGATTTTTTCAAATGGAACACCCTGTATTTCATTGTATTTTTAGATTCTTCCTGAAGAGCTGATTTCATCAATGTAACACACTTGGGGCCTCGCGGGAATGATTACAGATATATAGGGTGTTCAAAATCGAGATTTTTCAAGTTTAGGATTTTTTTGTCTCGAAACTATTCATTATTGGTCGAAACGGCTTTTATGTTTCCATCTTAACTTTTGATTTACTGTCTACTGACATTCAATTGGAACATTTACAGGGTGGTTCAATATTCAGAATTCTGATCACCCTGTATCTGTTCCAATTATTAAATGTCAGTGGATAGTAAATCAAAAGTTAAGTTATGGACATGAAAGCCGTTTTGACCGAAAATCCTAAAGTTGAAAAATCTCGATTTTGAACACCCTATATCTCTGTAATAATTCCCGCTAGACCCCGAGTGTGATGCATTGACCAAATCAGCTCTTCAGGGAGAATCTTGAAATTACGATGAAAAATAGAGTGTTCCATTTAAAAAAATCAAATAGTACCCTGTAGATCGTTTGTTCAGAGCAACCTAGTATTTTCTGATGTAGCGGAAAAAACTTCATCGAAAATCATTCAAGATGATACTTCAAATTTTGAAATCGGTTTAAAAATAACTGAGCTAGAGGGGGGACATTTATGGTGAATCACCCTGTATATACAGGTTGTATCTAAATAACACCGAAAAAATTCTAGGGGTGATTCCTAGTGATATTTTAGGAAATAACGTTCATATAAACATGGGTCCTAACTTGTTTCATATTTTTATTAGATTGATCTATTGAAATAACAACTTTTTTATCCTCTGTGTGATTTTTATATCTAGCTTAGTTTCTGAGGAAACAATAAAAATTCGATTTGACTCCAAATTTTCATTTATGTGTTTTCAAGACTCCCATTGAGATTACTCAATAGCTCCAATTAGAATCATTTTGAAATTTTGGGGCTTCCTCAGTCTCCATCCATACTGAATTATGGCACCATGAAAGCTTATACAGGGGGGTTATAAATAAAAACAATTAATACCTTCAACTTCAACATCCTGTATCTCAAAAACGGAGCAATTGAATTGAATTGAATTTTTTCGGTGTTATTTTGATGCACCCTGTATAACAGGGTGTCCCCAAATTTAGTCTACCAAACTTCACCAGTGGCTTCTACGGAAAAAAATTGGAAAAACAGTTTCAATGAACATGAGTCAAAAAATGTATCATAAGGGAGCTGCGGCCTCCTGATAAGATGATATTTCTTGAATATTTCCGAAACACCATGT